TTCCCTTTTGTCTCTCACTGCAAGTATTTCTCAAGGATTGGGGCTAAATTTTCTTCTTACTCAGCCCTTTCCTCTCTGCCTTGGGAATATAAATTGCTCATCTAATTTCAGTTGCCAGAATACACAGCTTAAATAAGACTTGTGTCTCAGCTTTCTTACTTCTTCTCTGAATGGGTGCTTATAGCTAATCACCGTAGACTGGCAACTGGATACAGTATTAAATTTGGTTTGTGTACTCTTTTACCTAATGTGCTTTTTTTTTCAAATTTGGTGGTAACTCCCCAGCCAACTCTTCTACCTCTGATCCCTCTAATCCCTCAAGAAATCTCCTGAAGCAATGTTCATATTTACTTCATGATGTTTGTAATGCTGTATCCTTTAAGTTTTATGGCAAAGTTCTTACTTTGTGCCCTCTGGTTAACTCCTTAGGCTGTTTCCTCTTGGGAGCTGTGTATTCCACTGAGGGAATGGTAACACAACTGGACCCCCATGGAAAGGTCCTGGGTTCAGATCCTGGGACTTTCCCTGAGCACACCTGGTGAGTGTGTGTGCGTGCTTGTGATTTGGGCCTGCTGAGAGTGGGGTGGATTGCAGTGCAAAGCCCTTGTTGGGGGTATTTCTCTCTCTCTGAAATAAATAATGATATATATATATATATATAGACCCAAACACACACACATACATACACACATCAGGACCCAAACTGACTATTTTTCTGGAGAAAAGGTAGAACGTCAACAGTCTGGCATCTATTTGGCTCTCTAACATAGACATTAGTATTTTTCTTGCAAAAAGAAAGTGATTTCCTCTTAAGCCACTGTGAAGAAATGGAGCAAATTTCTAGTATGAATGTGCTCAGACACTTGGTAAAAGACAACGCCTGCACCATTTCTTCATTACACCACTTTAGACTCGGCATGGTGAACACACATGTCTTTACGAGACAGTGATAAAACACCCTTGGAAGGGTAGTAGCCTTGACTAAGCTGAAGAAGACCCAAAGAGAGAGGCCAGTGGGCAGCTGGGAGAAGTGACTTTCAAATTCCCCAGAATTCACTTAGAACTCTAGGTTAGACAATATCAGACCTTATGCCTTACTTCGAATTGTGCCCATTATTTGAGAATATGCTTTCAACTGTAATACCACGCCATTTAAAAAACAAACTTTCAGTCATCTATTGCTATGTAACAAATCATCCCACATTTGGTGGCTTAAAACAAGAATTCACTGTTTGTCAGAATCCGGAGGGCCAACTGGGTTTAGCTGGGCAGTTAGCCTGTAGTACTTGGTGCTGGCTGCAGACACTCATTTGGCTACATTTACCTGCTGGAAGGTCCAGGAAGGCTTCACTTACCTGTTTGGCTCCTTGGAACTCCTCCCGTGGTCTCTCTTTCTCTCTTCATGGTATCTTGGGAGTCTAGCCTGAGCTCTTTGCAACATGGTGGCTGGCTTCGCAAGGGAAGAAACAGAAGCTGTTGGCCCTCTGAAGGGCTAGGCCTGGAAATAGCACAGTGTTACCTCTGCTGCATTCTCTAAGCCTCAAGAAGTCACAGGGCCAGCCCTGATTCAAAGCGGGGAGGGAACAAGGGGGCTTCACCTCGTGATGAAAAGACTGGCCAAGTGTCATGGCCAAAGGCACGCAGGATAGGAGAGACTGTCACAGAATCACAGAAAACAATCTATTATAGTCTTCCAGACATGGCATCATTAAAAATAATGAAAGCAGAAAGGTTAGTTCCAAAGAAAATAAAAGAACTGAAGCATATTTTAACAGTGACCTTATTCATTGTTTTACTAATTGTTTTTCTCTCTTATCATTAGTCATTGGTATTTCTCTCTTTTCACATTAAACTTACAATAGAACGTGGGGTTAAAGACTGTTATAGCCTCAAATTGAGGATGCAAGAAAATTTCATATCCTGTAGATTCAGAATTTTAAAGAGTCAGAGAAATACTTTGATAAATTGAAAAAAAAAAAAAGAATCTTACAGTCTCAAAATAAAGTTGTAAAGATGTTCTCAGGGATAAGCATCTTGCTAGTCAGACTGGAAACATTTTTGTTAGTTTTCCTTTTGCAAAAATTCCTATCCCAAGGCACAAAAAGAAGTTTGCCATGTTGACTGTTCAGATATTCCAACCAATAGCAAGTTAAATAACAAGTGTGGAATTTACACACAAAGATGATGGCTTTTCTCACATAGAGTATATTAGGCAATGAATTAATAGCTGAGTTGAACAGAAATTAGGAGACAAAAATATTTAGAACTTTATTAAAATAAGCTAAAGAACATATTCAGGTTAAAATACATATACAAATATAGTCATGAAAGTACTTAGTCCCATGCATAGGTTTTCTTAGTATCTTAGGTTAAATTAAAAAAGAAAGACATAATATTATGTGTATTTAACATAATACATTTAGAACTAGTTTGTTGGGAATGGTTTCCAGTAGTAGAATTACCATTCTGCTAATGAGCAAATACTAGTTAACATATAGCTATAATTTCAAGTGCTTTGAAATAGAGGGCTATTTCAAATATATAAATATGCTTCTATACAAATATGTTCTAGAATCAGAAGAAGACATACAACATCTCCAAAGTGACAATATTTAGAGAAATGATGAATAGTATTCAGAACAGAAAAGAAAATTTTAGCTAAAACACAAATCATTTTACATGCGCATTAAGTAGGATCACTAATAATTCTAAGCTTGAGTAAACTGTGGATATAAATTAAAAATTGAGTGAACTCAAGTTCCTGCTGCTGAAATATAACATGTATACGATTCAGATACATCTGCAAAATTCCATTAAGTTATTCATTGAAACCACTCAAAGTTTGACTGAAGTTAGAAGTTTACTAAATGCTCTTCTTCCTGATAATATATGTCATTCCCGAGCTAATTAGATTAAAACATTAAAGAATGATTACATATTACTTTGCATTTAAAAAGTACACTTGTTTTATTTACATTAATTAAAATCTAGTGTTAATTAGCTTCAAAATCTACTTTTGTTGATAAAACTTCACCTCTGTCAGATGGTGGTCTATAAGCTGCTCTTGACTTGATAGAAGGAGTGGAGCGTAGTCAGATAAGTTTGAATGAGTGCACACGAAAACAAGTGAGATAGATGAGAAATAAAGATTATCTCCTGGCTCCTGGTTAAATCATAAACACCAGAAGTTGAGCTTGGTATTATTAAAGAAAAACACTCTCTGGAAAGCCTCTTCTGGTGGAAGATACGTCCAGGACACATACACTACATGTTACAGAGAAGCCCAGAAGTTTATTGCTGAAAAGAAGCCTTTGAAATCATCTAGTTTATCTACCACCTTGTTTTATAAATAAGACCATGAAGGCATAGAAAAATCACGCACGGTGCCAAGGTTGCGTAGTGCTGTAAGCCAGATCTGGAACCCCGCTGTCCTAACTCCCAGACCAAATACTCTTTCTCGTATTGTCTCACTACCACTCTTAAAGACTTTCAGTTTTCTAGTAAAACAAAAAGGAAGCTGTTGAGTTAATGATTTTAATAGAGAACAAACACATAACTAGGATATTAACTCGTGAGTGGCATTTTATCTGTATGTCCTAATTACATGCATTAACAATCTATTTGTGATTCAGCTACTACCTGAATCACACTGAGGAGACACTGCCTCCTCAGTTTTCCCAAGGGAGGATCGTTTGTGGAACTTCAGCGTCATTCTTCTGGTGGTGTATCTTAATTTAAAAAACGTTTCTTTTTGTTTTGGAAAAATCTGTGCCACTTATGCTCTTCCAAACCTGGGATTGGAAACCATGGGTGCTGACAAAAGACTAAGAATGTGCCAACTTTTAAAAAAGTGTAATTCCATGGCAAGCAAGCTAAAGGAGCAGTGAAAACCTTCAGAATTGAAAATTTTTTCAGAATGACAGATTAATTTTATGTCACATAATTTGGGAACTCTGCCAGAGCAGTGATGTACCTAACTTAGAAGAAAGAAAATCTACTTGTGCTTCAACTCTTCATTCCCTGAGAGCTTTGTTTTGACCCATTACTTAAACGTGTCCCTAATCCCAAGGATGGAAAAGCTTCCTGAATGCAACTTTTAAATGATGTGGTCTAGGGAACATAATCTTCAAAAAGTGACCTCCTAAAAGCGATTTGTGGTTGGGGCAAGTTGAACCATTATATTAAAATATCACCAGGACAGAAGCAGAGACCAAAGACAGGGTCCCCAGCACATAGGCTTCCAGGGCCAAAGAGGCCTCATTCAATGTCCTTTTCCATGGAGCTCTAGAAATAAGTCTGCATTTTTGATGGCCTGGAAAATGCTCCGTGAGAAACTAACAAAGAGACCAGAAGGAACTGTTTAGAGACGCTCAGGTACACGGCATGGGAAGTCTGAGGAAAGCAGGGTGAGAAGAGGTCACCAGGAGGTGGCACACGGAGGAATCACTCATCACAACAATGCAGTGTCTCCGCAGCCCTGGGCAAGGGCTAGATGAATAAACGAAAAGACTCGAAAGCTGGCATGTGTGAGACAAGACCTACATGATCCAGACACTGTACAAGGGTGAGAGGAGGTCACCAGGAGGTGGCACATGGAGGAGCGTTCAGGTGGAATCACTCATCACAACAATGCAGTGTCTCCGCAGCCCTGGGCAAGGGCTAGATGAATAAACGAAAAGACTCGAAAGCTGGCATGTGTGAGACAAGACCTACGTGATCCAGACACTGTACAAGGGTCTATGGAAACACATGGTTACAGAGTCAAGTCAGCTTCTGTGAAGAGCCTGAGCTAAGACTGTTGGCTGAAGACGAGTTTTCTTACAAACGTCAGTACTTAATCTGGGTCCTAGACACTGGAGTGTGACTGCCTGCCGTGGGCTGAAAAGTATGAGGAAACTGGGTGCACAGATGTGAGAGGCATGCCTCTGGAGCAGAGAAGAGTTGCAGCTTGAGTGAGATTGTGCCCCTGACTGATAACAGGCAGCAGCACTGTGTGGCCTGGGTCGCCCAGGGACCATGAAACACGCAAACGCCATCAGAAGATGATTTTTCTTCATGGTCGTCTGACTGCATCGCAATGTTTCTCTAAGTATTAGATGCTTTCTCCCCTCTCCTCCCCAGTAACACCTAAGCGATGGATTTAATCCAGACAACTGAAGGAAAAGAATGAGAAGGAGAAATGCTAGTCTGAAGTAATTCTTAAATGCAAATAAAAATGAGGAATGTCATCCTTCAAAACCCTGTCCAAAACTTCATTATTGCAAGCAACAAGGGTAATGGAATCATGTACAACTTATTATATTTTATGCATGTGTGTGTACTATATTATATATATAGATATATATTATCTACCTATCTATGAATGAGAGCCAGAGCAGTATGACTGACTTGGTGTGGTAAAAAGAAAATCTACATGAAAATACACTATGGATACTAAAAAGAAATCTTTCAGCAAAGTTGCCTTTTATTTTTTATTTCTCATTTTCCTTGTGCCTAGGGTATCATCCTATTATAAATGCCAGAAACACTCAAATCTGAAGAAGCATATTCCTGTTAAGATGAAAATAAGAAACCCTTAACAGCTTGTATTCACACTAAGAATGTTCGGTGGCCAAAGAAGTCCACCGAAAACTTACTATCAGTTCCTTATTAGCAAACTGAAAGTCCTTTCCAACATTCTGTGTCATTTTTAGATACCCAGGATAAAAGACATTTATTATGATGCTTCAAAATATATAAGTATGTATGTACATGTGTGTAAGTGTGTGTATGTATGCATGTCAAGTTTACTTGGGAAAATATCCCAAAGTAAATCTGGCTCACCTATTGTTTGTTTGTTTGTTGTTTTCTTTCTTTCTTTCTTTCTTTCTTTCTTTCTTTCTTTCTTTCTTTCTTTCTTTCTTTTTTCTTGTAAGAGACACACAATGAAATTAACTGAAAGATAATTTTCTTGCTCTTATGAAGCATTTACAAATTCAACTTGACCATGACACCATCACTAGTGTGGGAATGCACAAATTCATAGAGATTATGGATGCGAATATTTGGAAGAAAGCATTGGCAATGAACTATCTAGACAACACAGCTAGGCAGATGGGTTGAGGAACTGAGATTTAGCCAGGAAGACAAAAGGATGAGGAACCATCATGTACCCAAGGAGATCATTACAGTCAGCAGTCAGTTATATCCAAGGGCCTTACTGTCTTGAGGATGGTGATTTCTTGTTGTCTGTCCACTATTTGTATGGAATTTTCTCTAGCTAGGTTTAAAAAAAGAATTGTCAACATCTCATGAGACAGAAAAAATAGAGTCTGCCTTGCAGTCAAGGGATAAACCTAAATGACCTTTCAATGTTCCCTCCCTACACCCATATAAAAACACAGAATAAAATGCTGGCATTACTCAACAGACCTGGTTAAAATAAGAGCGAATTAAAATGCAGGAACATAATGTCATTCCTTACACAAACACCAGTGAGGCAGGCTATTTGATGTTGCTTTAAGATATTATGCGGTCAGCTGAAGCAAGATGAAATATGTAAATCTTTTTCATAAATCGAAGTATAAGCCCACAAAATTCTCAATATAAATTGCCTCAAGAAGGGGCTGCTCTGATGAAATTGAAAATGTCTCCTCCATATGTGCAGTTTCAGGCTTTATAACATTTAAAGAAAATGTTCTAAAAGATAAAGTTGGCATGTAAAAAGCACGAGGAAAGGAATCAGCAAAGATCAGAGCAAAACAATTCTAGAAGGCATCTTAATTTTCATATGGCTCATTTGCATTTGAAACACTGAGAATTCCTATCTTGCTTGTACAAAAATGTGTACATATTAAATTACTTTGCACTTGAAAGAACATTTTCCTAAATGTTTGGAAGATGATCAAATTTTAACGGGAGGACTTGTTTTCTTCCATCAGGTGTGGGGGAGATGTGGCTTCCTGGTATGAGAGGCAACAGTTGATTCTAATAGCAGAACAAGACAAAAATAAGAAGGTAAATTGAAAATAATTCCTATTTGTATAGTTTGATGTAAAGGCGGTAAAACAAAAAGGCTATATATGAGACAAAGTTGTCAAAAGCCATCCATTTTAAAATTAAAAAGAGTTACCCTTCCAAAAATATGATCCTCTGATACTTGAAAATTAGATTCTATTAATGCAAGGATTCTCATGGATGCACTATTATTTATTTTAATGCACTTGTTTCTGAGTATCTGGTCAGCATTTAAAAGACAGTGGCTATTCAATAATAATTCCAAGAGTCTACTTTTTTTTCCCCATTGCTAGGGGACACGTGGACTCACCCCTGAGAGTGGGAGAAAACATTTCCTGAGTTGGGGTATGCATGTACACATACTGGGTATGTTTTTCAAACTGTTGAGACTGGGATTCAAACCCCAGCTGGCCATGTGGGATCTGGCTCCCTTAACCACTGGGCAATGGGAGTGGCCCCTACCAGAGTCTGCATTTAGCCCCTCTCAAAATTTTAAAAGCTAGAATGTTAATGGAATAGCAAATGCTGGAAATCTCAAGAAGGGGCTGCTCTGATGAAATTGGAAATCTCTTTATCAACCTTAAATAGTATTTAGTCTTAAAAAAACCAAAAAAACCAAAAAAAACCTGTTGTTCATTCACTCAGAGAGCTACCAGCTGGGAGCCTAAGTTGAGATTTGAACTTGTGTGGGCCAGTAGGTAGTGCAGTGAGTGGTTAAGGTGCTGGACTTGCACATAGCCGATTGTGGTTCAAGTCCTGAACTTGGCAGCTTCAAAATCACACAGAGCATTTGTATGTGCCTGCCCAAAGAATGGAGGAGAAGTGACTGTAGCGTGGCCATCCTCCCTGGAGGGTGATTTCTCACTTTCTCTCTCTGTTTCTAGCAAGTGTACATGTCCTGTGGCAAAAACTCAAAAGAAAGAAAGAAAAGAAAATTAAAAATTCACTTACAAAGTGAAACTGTATTGAAAGAAAAGCTATTTCTGTAATTTTTAGTTTATTTCCTGATTTGGCAAAATGTTAGGAAAGAGGTGCATCCTCAGAAGGAAAACCAGAACTTAAAAGGCATCCTTGTCTTCCTTTTGGTCTTGCTCTCTGGGGACAGCTCCCAGAAGAGGGAGCCATTAGGCCTGATTTCCTGGCGAGTGCTAGGGTGGGACCCATATCCTTGTAGAGGCAGACAGAATGTAGTTTACTAAGGACGGAGAGCATGACAGAGCTTTTGTAAACGAATCATCTACGTGCACTCTGCTCTTGATGTTTCTTTCTCTTGTGTTGTCCCTGGGTCTTTCGGAAGGTCTCCATAGAGTCCCTCATCTATTACCAGCTATGAAACAAAGGGTAGCACAGCCCTGAACCAGACCCCTGGAGAGCACCCCCTTCTCTCCAGGCGAGTGCAGAGGTAGATCCCAAGTAGAAAGTGGATCAGGAGACCAAGGGGCAGGGTGAGGCAGCAATGCTGTTCACCCTCCCAGACCAATGTAAGGAAGCTGGTGAGATATTTTTATGGGACAGTGTCCTTTTATACATTTCCAATTGCTACCTCAGACTTACTTGAACAAACCCTCATCTTTCTGTTATTTAAATAAGGTGCATTGGGCTTCACTTGCAATAAAAGGAAACATGGCCTTTGTAATAAAAATTTGGATACCCAGGAAATTGGGATACACAGAAATAATATTATATTTCAACTTACTGATGAGTTCAATTTTTCTCTTACAACAAACTTCTATTTTAAATACTAAACTATTGGAGCAAAACAGATCGCTTTCTTCGTTTATGGGAGATACGTTAATGAGAAGGTAACTGATTACAAATTAGATCAAAGATGGAAGACTAAGCAGATGCAAAATATGACAATTGTGGGGCTGGCATCAGGCATGGTGGTTAAGGTACTAGACTCCGACATGGCCAACCATGGTTTGAGTCCTGGACCTCATGGCTTGCTTTCTCACTTTTTCTTTCTGTTTTTCTCTGGTCAAATTCAAAATAAATAAATAAAATTAAAAATAATATATAACGACTGCCACCCTCTGATAAATTTAATATCACTATCCTGGTTTATTAATAAGCAATATTTGGGGCCAGCAGATGACATAGTGGTTGAAGCACTGAACTCCCACATGGCTGATTGTAGTTCAAGTCCCAGACCTGGCAGCTTTCTCTCTCTCGCTTGCTCTCTCTCTGTGTGCCTCTCTGGTCAAATTGAATAATACTAATAAATAAAATTAAATGAATAACCCTTAAAATATTTTTAAAAAGCAATATTGATCAATTTATTTATCTGAATAATAGTTATTAAGTACACTGTCTATGTATAGAAATTTTCTCAGGTGCTGGATTTACAAAAGTGAAAAAAGAAACCTACAAACAAACCTACTTCCACAGAGTTCATTCCTACATATATTTGTTTGTTCTTTTTTTTAGGTTTTTGCCATAAGACATAAGCTCTTTCCATGGGGGCTGATGCAGAGAGAGGGGAAAGTGAGAAATCATCCCCAGGGGGATAGCCATACTGCAATTGCTTCTCTTCCATTCTCTTGGAATTTTGGGCAAGCATGTATAAGCACGCAGCATGATTTTCACGCCACAGGGTCTATGCTCAATCTGTGGTTGACCATGTGGGAGTCCAGCACCTTAATTACCATGCCACCTGCTAGCCCCTAGAGTTTGTATTTGAACTTCAAAGTTTTTGCTGAAACCAAGTGAAGAAAGTCACCTAGTGAGTGCTGCCACCATACTGTCCTTCTCTATTGGCCCATTTCGAGCTAGGATTTGGTTCCCAGATGTCTAGATTTCATCCCTTATATCTGGCAGCGCTCATCCTTGGTTTTGAGAGAAAGCCCTGGAAAGACAGACTCAAGGGCCTACCATGGGTGAAAAGATTTCTTGAATTCGTGTCTGGAGGCCACAGACAGGTACTGGGTTTTGTTGTAAGATAGCAAAGTTGGTTCTGTCATAACCAAGGTTTTATTGTATGAAATTGTGGTATTTGGGTACACAATCTGACAGGTGTAGAAAAGAGTTGTACAATCATTTGCCTCAAGTGTATTAGGAATAAGATTTTGCAACAATCTGGATATTTTCATAGTTCTATGGTTTTATTACATCAATCACCAATATTTATTAAGATAAACAAATACAACTAAACCGGTACAAAGAAAAGATCTTGATGTCCATCTAGTCTCACTTTGAAAGCTAGAAAAATGAAAAAAAAAAAAAAAAAAAAAAAAGGAATCCTTTTTAGAACACTTTAACTTTGGAATGGAGGTACCTGCTGACGTCTTCTGTTTCTTCCCTCGCTCCGTGGTTTTCTTTTAACTTGGTCCTCTCGAAAAGAATCAAAGTAGGCACTCTCCAGGAGTTGGGCACAGGTTAGTCTGTCATCTGGATTCATCTTCAGACACCCCTTTGGAAGAAAACCAAAAAAGATATTCAAAAGAGCAGGGGCTCTGTAGTTACCATAACCCAAGACTCTCAATAATAACTCGACTGAGTTCACGGGCGTTTAGAAAATCTTCAAGGGACAGAAAGCAATACTTTGCTCTTGGGTCAAAATGGCGAGCAGGCCAGCTGTTTCAGCGTCAGGTTGGTGGCTGGATGGTATTTGAAATGGTATTACAATGCTGCAGAATTTAATAAACTGGGGTTAATGAGAGACGATACGATACACGAGAATTAAGATGTGAAGGAAGCCATAAGAAGACTTCCTGAGCACCTTTATAATGACAGGATGTTTCACATTAAGAGAGCCCTGGACCTGACCATGAGGCAGCAGGTCTTGCCTGAAGAGCAGTGGACAAAATCCGAGGAGGATAATTTCTACCTTGAACTGTATCTGAAACAGGTTATTCAGGAAAGAAGAGAGAAGAGTGGGCAAAGAAGTAACTAGGTTGCTATTGTGGATATTGTTGTCCTTAAAGTATTTTATGAAGTTGGTCAAACCTGAAACATTTTATTTAAAAATAATTTGGTCTGCAGGTGTATTACTTTAAATAAATGTCTATTGTAAACATTAAAAAAAAAGAAAAGAAAATCTTCAAGGGACAACAGGTGGTGTGGTGATTAATTGAAATAAATAAATAAAATTAAATATATATATTTTTAAATAAACCACAATGCTACCCACTGTGCCAAATAAATAATTCTAAAAAAAAAAAAGGAAAAAGATGGGACCAGCAGTTGGCATGGTGGTTAAGGTTCTGGACACTCCCACATGGCTGACCACAGTTCAAGTCCTGGACCTGGTGGCTTGCTTTCTCGTTTTCCTCTCTCTCTCTGTGTCTCTCTTTCTGGTCAAATTAAAAAATAAATGAATGAATAAATAAAATTTTTAAAAAAAGGAAAAACAAAATCTTCAAGCTCATATATTACCAAGCACTTGGAATTTGTTAATGGCTAGAATTGCTCTTCTTTTGCCACTTCAAGGTTTTTTGAGGGTAGAATGGATTCAATATCTCTGGAAGGGGCTCCCGTTGATCAGGTGCTTCTGCTAAAGACATCTTTTCATCATGAATGAAGCCAGTCACTGGAAGGATCTTTGGAGTGTGGTTCCTGGACCAGCCTCACAAGCATCACCCAGGAACTTGTTGTGAGTAAGGTTTTGGGTCCTGACCCATACCTGCTGAGTTGTGAGCATGGGGTGGGACCACCCATCCCTCGGGTGTTTCTGAGGCTCATGGGCTCAAATTTGAGAACCACTCAATTAAGGAGATGTGTGAGGAAGTGTTATCCTCAATAATGAGAAAGGATCTAGAGCAGGGAGAAATGGAATATATATTCACGTAATAAAAACTAGAGGCAATAAGGAAAGGTGGCATTATGACCCTTTGTATACGTGCCAGAGGAACTGCCAAAAGTTTGTGGAAAAATAAAGTATGAGTTTATTTGGTGCAATTTTTAAAAAATCCATGCATAGTTTTTACATAATCACATTTTCTATGACCTTCCTGAAGATCCCCACATATATAAAAATATATATCTTTAAAATTATACACACACACACATACACAAATAAAAAAATAAAAAATAATAAAAAAATACAATTATACACACACACATTTAAGATCCTCCTGCCTCAGGCTACAGAGTAGCTGGAACTACTGGCAGCACGTGTAACCATGCCTGGCTTTTAGATTGGACCAGGAATTGAACTGCGGCCTCTCACATGATTTCAGCCTGCAGGGCACAGTATTTTAGCAGAAAGTGCTATCATGGCCAGGTCTATGTCACTTTATATTTGTGGCTGTTAGAAGCCTCTAGCATTTCCTCAGAGGCTGGGGAGGACTAGGGGGCCAGTGCAGGCCTGACACAGACGTTTTCTCCAGAAGCCTCTGATAATATTTTGGCCAGAGAATGAGGCTTTTCCCCAACAATAAGGATCAATTACAATCTATAAAGAATTGGGGCAGTTCTACAACATCCAGGCAGAGATGACCTGGAACTTTCTGCCTTGTGTCAATAAAAAAAGAAAGAAAGAAAGGCTTGCTAGCATTGTTCTGAGGCATTCAAGTGTCCAGATAACCTCCCCACAGCAGCTGTTCCTCTCTAACCCCAGCTGACCTCAGATCGCAAAGATTCCTGGACACACTGCTGCCCCTAGGAAGCATCACATGCAGTATCTGACTAGTCCTGTTCTTCAGGAAATAACCCTCTCAGGAAAATCAGACTCACTGGTCGCTCCTCAAATACTATCTGCTCCAAGCAGATCACCCCTGAATAATGATCAATGTCATACATTAACTCCAACTGCTACTGGTGAACAGTCTCTTCAAACTCTATCATGTCGGGGGTATAACCAGGACACAAAGCCTGTTTGAATGTAAAATGTAATAGCCTCTATAGCCTCTATTTCTTCATTGTTTTATTCTAGCTTCTGCCTCCATCACTCCAATTAAGTGACTCTTGTTATTAATACCTCCAGACTCATATATGCAATTGCCTACTTAAATCTCTTCTTTATCTCAAGGGAACTGTTATAGGTTGAACTCTGTCTCCTCAAAAGTGCACGTTGAAGTTCTTTTTTTTTTTTTGTAGAGGGTTTTGTCCTTGGTTTTTTTTTTTTTTTTGGTAGAGGTTTTTGCCTTAGGGCACGTGCGCTTGCAGAAGAGAGAGAGACAGAGACAGTAAGAGGTAAAGTGAGAAATCACCCTCCAGCAGGGATGGCCACACTGCAATCCCTTCTCCATTCTCTGGTTGGCCATGCGGGAGTCCAACGGTAACTGCTAGGCTGTCTGCTGGCCCTGCAGGTTAAGGTTCTAATTCCCAGTATTTTGGAATGTGTGACCTTATTTGGAAATAAGGTCTTTGCAGATGTAATGAGTAAAAGTGAGGTCCTAATGGGGGAAGGTTGCCCTCAATCCAAATAGGACTCATGTTCTTGTAAGAAAAGAAGAGACAATGTAAACACAGGCACGCACAGAGAATGCCAAAAGATGACGGAGGCAGAGACTGGAGTGATGCTATCACAAGCTAAGGAATGCCTGGGGCTTCTAGGAGCTGGAAGAAACAAGGACAGATTCTCACAAGAGTCTTCAGGGAAAGCATGGGCCTGCTAACACCCTGGAAATGGACACAGGCACCTGGAAATGGACACAGGCACATCCTCGCCACCGTCCTCTACTTTATGCCCCAGAGAGAAATCCTAATGAAGTCCTGTCAGTGTTACTTTCAAGTACAGCTTAAACTCACTCATTTTCATATAGGTTTTCAATTTATTAAAGTCAAATCCGTCACTAAGTATCTATGAGCTTTTATTTTAAAGAGCATTTTAGGTCCTAAGAAGAGGCTGTAAATGTTGAGCTACTCCATGGAGTTTGGGCTGGAATAAAGTCTGGCTCGATTACTTTTAGAAGCATGGAGATGAACAGGGTGGCATTGAGGCTTCTGACTCCTTGCCTACCTGGATTAATAACTTCCTATAAATCAAGAAGCTGATAAATTCTCAGAGGTGCTCCCTGATAGAAGTGCTCCTAATCTGGAAAAGGTCTTGCAGATGGGAGATGAGAAATTGAAACTATAAAGTTGAAGTTAGGGTCTTTTTCTTACATTTTAAATTTTACAGAAAGATCTATAATGAAATTTCTTTTTTTTAATTTTTGAAGAATTATTTAATTTTATTTTTTATGATTGGGTCATTAGGAAAGTCATGTTGGATTTCTTCATAGAAAAACTTCTTTCCCAATGACCTAATACTACAATTTTTAAATTGCTGTAGGGCATGTGTGCTCACCAGAGAGAGACAGAGAGAAGGAAAGTGAGAAAGCAAGCTACCAAGTTCAGGACTTGAACTAAAGTTGGCAATATTAGACTCCAGTGCTTTAACAACCACGCCACCTGCTGGCCCTGTAATGAAATTTCTAAGAGTCTACTATTATCTTGATGACTAGATTAAACTGATCAAGTGATGAGATGGTCATGACTGTGGAGAAAAATCAGTAATAAGTAATAAAGACTGTGCCTATTATCTCATTACAGATCTAATTAAGAGAACAAAACACCTGCCATAGATTGACCACTGCTTCCCTCACTAGCCACAGCACTGTCTCTGGTTAACACTTTACCCACCTGAGCTGTTCCTTACATAAGTTACCACCCAGCCCCATGGAATAATTACCCATTATGGTAACTAGTACTTACTGTTAAAAATGCCTCCTTAATTGTTGGGGCCAGCAGGTGACGTGGTAGTTAAAGCACTGGACTTCCACATGGAAGACCATGGTTCAAGTCCTAGACCTGGCAGCTTACCTTCTTATTTTCCCTCTCTGTCTTTTTCTGGTCCAATTAAAAAATGCTAATAATAAATAAAATTAAATAAAACAGTTCTTTAAAAAATGCCTCAATTGTAATTAATAAAAAGGTTTATCTATCATGGGGCAGAGTCTAGGATATCTAGGAGATAGGGTGAGATCTACAGAATAGCATATTCTTTGAAGTACTTAGAGAAATATTGGTCTCAGATAGATAATTATGGGTCTAAATCAAATAGTTGAGCAACAAATCTAGCTTCATCAAAAATCTTGGGTGGAGGTGGCCCCATAATGTAGCAGTTAAGCACTGTGCAAAGGATATCGGGTCCCACATGGTTCAAGTCCCAGCTATGGTGGTTTACAGCCCAGGCACAAACACATGTGTCCATGATCCTAATGGGATAGCAAACCAGAGGAAAAGGGATTGTAGTGTGACCAGGCCTCACTGTGAGGCGCTTTTTCTCTTCTCTTCCCCATAACCTGTCCTTCTCTCAGGCATGCACATGTTCCCTCTGGCATTTAAAAAAAATGGGGGGGGGGCGGCAGGTGGTGTGGTGGTTAAGGGCACTGGACTCTCAAATGGCTGACTGTGGTTCAAGTCCTGGACCTGGAGGCTTGCTTTCTCCCTTTCTCGCTCTTTCTCTCACTCTGTCCCTCTCTGGTCAAATTAAAATAAATAAATAATAAATAAACAAAATAAACAAAATAATTCTTTAAAAAAAAAAAAAAAGAATCTTGGGCAAGGCAGAGGAGGACAGAGGAGGACAGGAAGAGGAGGACAGGAAGCTTGTCCTATATTTTGGAGTTTTCATGTCCTGGAGATGCTTTCCTAGGAGTTTTTGTCTCAGATTAGTTGGAGGAATAACTGCAGATAGGCTCTGGCCTCCACCTAAGAATGGGTTGGGCTTGCGGTGCTTGACACCACTCCTCCAATGACAAGTTTCACCAAATCGCAGGTGAGTAAAAACAACCGATCAAGAACAAGGTCTGAAAGTGGGCGTCTGGGATGGGACCTGCAGAAGCTGGCTGGAGGCAGGTTAGGGCAGTGAGGCAGGGTGGATGGCAGCTGAGGTCAGGTGCAGCAGTGGGAACGGGTATCTGAGCACAGGAATGCGGCTCCAAAGACTCATACAGAAGCAATCCAGCACCTTGGATAGCACCATGGCAGGGACCAGCACTAGCACAAAGGCTGGTCTTCAAAGTTGACTCTAGATCATCCGGATGGCCCCACTACTAGATCGGACAGTCTCAGGCTGAGCAGGTTATCATGATCCCCTAAGGGCATGCTTGAAGCCACAAACCCAATGTCCCCTTCATGGAGGGAGAACCTGCTTCCGGGAATCTGAGACTGGACACTAGAATCTGTGTATGTCTTCTTTCTTTCTTTTCTTTCTTTTTAAGACTATTTTGTTCACTGTTATAATCCTAGGACCTCGAAAATCAAACTAAATAGGTGCATGTGCTCACTGAAGAGAGACAGAGGGAAAGTGAGCAGTCACCCTCCTGGGGAGATGGCCACGCTGCAATCCCTTCTCTTCCACTCTCCTCTTGGGATTTTGGGCACACACACACATGTGCCTGCTGTGATTTTCTTTCTTTTCTTTTCTTTTTTCTTTAAGAATTATTTTAGGGGACCAGCAGGTGATGTGGTGGTTAAGGCTTTGAACACTCCCACACGGCTGACCATGGTTCAAGTCCCAGATCTGGTGGCTTGTTTTCTTACTTTCTCTGTGTGTGTGTGTGTCCAGTAAAATTAAAATAAATGAGTGAATAAATAAAATAAAATATTAAAAAAAAATCTTTGTGCAAATTAAAAGACAGTAATAGTGATGAATGGAATTAAATAAAATAATTCTTTTCTAAAAAGAATTATTTTTTTAAAAAGAATTATTTTATTTAACTTTATTTATTTTAATTTGACCAGGGGTGAGGGAGAGAGATAGACAGGGAAAATGAGAAGGCAAGACACTAGGTCTGAGACTCGAACCACAGTCAGCCATGTGAGAGTCTAGTATCTCTTACCACCACGCCACCTGCTGGTCCTGCTTGATATGATTTTCAAGTTGCCAAGTCCAGGGCTTAAATCAAGGCTCAAAACGTGGTAGTCAAGCATCTTAACCATCATACCACCTTCTAGCCTCCAGAAATTTGTATTGTCTTAAAAACTACGTATTTCTGATGTGTAACTATACTTGAAAACCACTGCTATAGATAGAACTTATTTGATTGTCCAAGATAGATACCCTCTCTGATATCCTCATACCCATCCCGTGAAGGACTGTCAGTATCCACCATGAATGGAAGGGTCACACCTTCTAGAGTGACCTCGTTCCTCATTTGGTCAATCATGACTGGTAGGTTGGTCATAGGTAAATTTCTCCTGCTTTTGATTAGAAATGTCCTTTGCTTGATCATCTCTCGTGGGCCCAGTGCAGGGACTAGGCCTGGTGTCTGCCTGGCTCTGACTGCCCAGTCTTCTACTAATTTTAGTAGACATGTCAGAGCTGTTACTGCTGTTTAAATCACGGACGTTCCGTTAGCTGTCACTATTTCACAGTTCCTTTCATTTTTAATGACTACATCCTATGCTGGCATTATTTGCCCCACTGTTCACCTTTTCTAGAATTATCAGCTTTAACCATTATAATTTGCAGTAATAATAGTTACAATTGATCCATAAGTACCTTCATGAAATTCAAAGCCATGGAATGAGCACCTGAGAACTTTTCCTCAAGAGTTTCCTGGAAAAAAGGTAAAAAAAATTCAACTTAGTTGTTACTTAACAACTAAGTAATGTGTACTTTAAACATATTAATAACAACAACACATGGGGCCACCAGAATGTGTAATGGTTATGTCACTGGACTCCTATATAGTCAACTGCGGTTCAAATCCTTGATCTGGCGGCTTAAAACTCACACTGGGCCCATGTGCATGCGTGTCCAAAACTCTCAGTGGAGAATGGAGGAGAAGGGATCATGGCATGGGCATTCCCTCTGGGGGGTTGATTCCTCACTTTCTGTCTCTCTGGCAAGCACATGTGCCCTACAGCAAAAACCTTTCCCTAAAAAAATAAAAAATAAGAACAACTCTTTGTAGAAAGACCCCATAGTGGGTTAGAAAATTCCTTTAATAATTTTTAAGTCGTGTTTTTACACTATAGTGTAGAGATCTCAAAGGCATAAAACAAATTATTTTCTTAATTTCACAATGTCTTGCAACTGATGTGGGGCAAATATGGGCCCCAATTGCTCCCATCTGAAATCCCACTGCAGTGCTAGGATATCTGTGCCTGATCTACTTACAAGGATACTTTGAGCATTTGTGAAAATACATTATACAGGAGCCAGCAGATGGCGTACCAGTTATGTCGCTGGACTCCCACGTGGCAGACTTGCGGCTGGCTTGAAAATCACGCCCGACCCATGTGGGTGGGTGCCCAAGAACTCAGAAAGAGAAAGGACTGTGGCATAGCCATCCTCCCAGAGGGTGATTTCTCACTTTTCCTTTCACTGTCTCTGTCTCTTTCTGGAGAATACACAGGCCCTAAGGCAGAAAATTCCTTAAAAAATGCATTAAACGATGTGTATAAAAGCACTACAGGGGTCAGCAATGTGACAAACACAACATTCAGAACAATGAGGGGGGGAATAGGAGGGGACGCTTCCAAGAGAATGGTAACATGTTACTTCTTTAACTACACAGTGGACACGTGTGAGTTTTAGTTTATTCTTTAAATTAAATTGTTATATAAACATTCTTCTGTTATTCAGCCTTTAACCTTGTATTATAAGTGTTAAAGGTTTTAACAAATACAATGAAAAAGAAAACCAGTATATAAATGAAGGTATTATATGAAATGACCTCAGATGAGTAGGGTATCTAGAGATCATTCAGGTCATTTGAATCCCAGGTTGTTCACATGAGTAAAGACCTTGATTTGCTTGCTCAGACTTTTCCCTGTCTCTGTGCTGCTCTGGCTCCCACACAGCTTGAGGGTGGATGCATGCCTCTCCTGACAGTGATCTTTCTTTCTACAGGCAGGTTCTAGACCATATATGGAGTTTTAGAGATCCTAGCTTGAACTTAGGTAACTCAGACAGGAAATTAATGTCTCCAAGAGAATAAGAAGGTCAAGTGGTCACTGATACATTCCCACACAAGGGCAAAGACCACAGCAAGAGCAGAGATGGTCACAGTGACTTGGAGTTTCCTAGGTACAGTGTGGATGGTATTTAGAATGACCTTCCATTTGAAAACCTATGTAAAGAAAAAAATTAAGGAGAACACTTGTGCAAGCTTAAAAATTTTGAGAGAATGCATTCTTCCCCACCCCTAAGGAAAGACTACTGTCAAGTACTTCTTATAAGAAGTAATTATGGGGGCTAGTAGGTGGCATGGTGGTTAAGGTCCTGGGCTCCTACGTGGCCAACTGTAGCTCAAGTCCTGGACCTAGTGGCTCACTTTCCCTCTTTCTTTTTTTCTCTGTCTCCCTCTAGTGAGAGCATGTGCCCTATACCAAATTAAAAAAAAAAAGAATACATTTTTAAAAGAATTACTTTATTTAATTTTACTTATTCATTTATTTTTAATTTGGCCAGAGAGGGAGGGAGGGAGGGAGGGAAGGAAGGAGAGACAGACAGAGAGAGAGAGAGAGAGAGAAATTGAGAAAGCAAGCTACCAGGTTACCAGGTCTGGGACTTGAACAACAGTCAGCCATGTGGGAGTCTAGTTCCCTTAACCACCACACTACCTGCTGGCCCTGAATAAATACAATTTGAAAAAAAAGAATGTAATTATTACAGGGAAAGTTACCCCAGTGTTTTGACCAAAAGGATCATGGTCAACTATATATATTGTATAGGTACTAAATATACTTTCAGTTAAAAATTTAATATTAAATTAATCTTTGGATAGATAGGACAGGTAAACTTCAAAAATATTCTCTGGTTCATTTTTAGGTAGTTTTTAATATAATTTCTTTAATGTGTGCCGGTATATCATAAAGAAAATGGGAGTCAAAAGCAAATATTAAAAAAAAAAAAGGAACAATGACTTATTTAGAGAAACTACAACATAAATAATAAAATATCCAAAATAGAGTAGTTTACCATATCTTCTGGTTCAGGTATACTGATGCCATGGAAAAACTGGTTACTTTTAAAGATAGATTGATGTCTTGGGATTAGTTTTCCTGTAAAATAAAAGCCACATAACTCAAAATAAATTTGGTTAAAAAATAACTAAGTGTTTAGTTAACCTCTACGGTCCAGGTATGGAATGAATATTGGCCTTGATTGTTCCTTCCAGCCATGGGTCCCTGTGAACAATACCTTCTCAGGGAGGTCAGTTCTCGCACACCATTCTCTTGGCCACGTGTGTTTGGTCTGTCACTCAGCCACCATCAAAATAGAAAGTGAGCAAACGATCCTAAGGAGTTTTACATACCTTATCTCACTGAGTCTGGTAACAATTTCACAGGAAGTTGCTATTTTTAATCACCCTTGGACTGATGGGGAAAATGCACCTCAGAGACGTTGGTACTTTGGTCAAGGTCTCACAGCAATTAAGTGTCCAGAATCCAGAATCGTTTTAGGAAATGAGCCAAACAAATGATAGACACTTAAGGGGTGGTGTACGGTGGGATTCTAACCATTCTCTTGCATTCTCTTCCAACCAGGTGGAGCTAGACAAGGCTGCTGAGGATGCTGACACGTGATGAAAGCGTATGGAAGGAGCCTTATGAATCCCCATCCTATTCTGCATTTTACTGGTGGGAAAACTTTGGCCAATCACGGAACTCCCTGAGTCTCAGTCTCCTCACTCATAAAATGGGCATGTTTAGAAATGTTCTATTTCCTTAATGTTTCTTTAAAAAAATATTTAAAGAGATGATGTATGTGACTAAAACCTGTACATTCTTTTTCTTATTATTATTATTTTCTTTTTTTGGAGAGGTTTTTGCTATAGGGCACGTGTGCTTGCCAGACAGACAGAGAGAGACAGAGAGACAGAGAGCGAGAAATCACCCCCAGGGGGGATGGCCATGCTGCAATTCCTTCTCCTCCATTCTCCTCTCAGGATCTTGGGCACGCACGTACACACGCCTGGCGTGAGTTTAAGCCACTAGGTCCAGGGCTCGAACCGCAGTCGACTATGTGGGAGTCCAGCAACATAGCCATCACGCTAACTGCTGGTCCCACCTGTACATTCTTAAGTACTATAGAAAAGAGACATGTTAATATTATTTCAACTCCACCAGCTACTTCTGATGAGGAAGTGAAAACAGACTTTTAAGATCTGCAAACTATGGTCTGTAGACCAAATTTGGCCCAGTGCTTCTTTGTTACAGTCTGTGACCTAAGAACAGTTTTTTTTAATACTTTTAAGTGGATTTTAAAAATGAAAATAACACAATTTTGATAGGTGAAACTTACAAGAAATTAAAATGTCAGCATTCATAACTAAAGTTTTATTGGGATGTAGGCATGCTCATTTGTTGACATATTGGGTCTGGCTGCTTTTGTACAATGGTAGGGTTGAGGAATTGCAGCAGAAATTGTTGTGGACTAAAAAAATCTAAAATATTTAGTAGCTGGCTTTTATGGAAGAAATTTGCTGATCCTGGCTGTACAGTAAAGCAGGGAAAATCCTGTTACAGTAGACAGAAACTGCATTTGATCAAATATTTTTTAGATGAGGCTCCAGGCAGTTGACTCAGATCCTTATCCCTATCTTAGCCCAATATGGAAAGTAAATGTATAGTGCATTCCACGGCTAATGGACTTTTCTTAGAAAGGCATCTGAAAACTCAGTGAGAGAAGGCGTGGCTCTACTTACGAGAAAAGGACTGGGCTTTGGCTACCACCCAGAACAACCATCCTGAGTAGCACTTCGGAGAGGCAATCAAGTTCTTGTTTTTCATTACAGTAACACACTGATACTATAATAACTTAGCAACTCTGTAAGCCATAAAATGCAATTCCTACCCAGTGTTCTGATTATCAGATAAAGCTGGTCCACATCTGACTTTCCAGGCCAGAGTGGCTGCCCTGTGAGGAGCTCTGCGAAAACACAGCCGATCGCCCATATGTCGACTGAAGAGCCGTACTGAGTATCTCCCACAAGAAGTTCAGGAGCTCGGTACCATCTTGTAGCAACATAATCCGTGTAGGCATCTCCTGGAACTGCAAACGCATAATCAGACCAGGTGAGTCATATTCTCTGAAGAAGGGAACTACTCCCAAAAGCAGGTAGGTATTCCGGTAAGCTTCAGTAACTCTCAGAGGCCATGATGCTCCCAACAGTTAAGGCAGTGAAGTGCTGAGTAACCAGTTACCCTGTATATTTAGTACATTTCACTTTCTTTTCTTTTTTTTTTTTAGAGGTTATTGCTATAGGGCACATGTGCTCACCAGAAAGACAGAGAGACAGAAAGTGAGAAATCACCCCCCAGGGGGATGACCACGCCACAATCCCTTCTCCCCGATTCTCCTCTTGGGATCTTGGGCACACACGCCTATGCTCCCGGCATTAGTTTAAGCCACTGGGTCCAGGACTCAAACCACAGTCGACCACGTGGGAGTCCAGCGACATAGCCCTTACGCCAACTGCTGGTCTCACATTTCACTTTCTTTTTTAATTTTTTTTTTTTTTTTAATTTTAGGGACCAGCAGGTGGCATGGTGGTTAAGTTGCTGGACTCCCACATGGCTGACTCAAGTTTGAGTCCTGGACCTGGCAGCCTGCTTTATCACTTTCTTTTTCTCTCTCTGTTTCACTCTGGTCAAATAAAAAAATAATAATAACAACAAATAAAAATTAAATAAATAGCAATTCTTTAAAAAATGATTTTATTTATTATTTTCTTAAGTTTACTATAGGGCATGAGTGCTCACTAGAGACAGAGGGAGGGAGCGGGAAAGTGAGAAAGCAAGACACCACGTCCAGGACTTGAACTGCAGTTGATCATATCTGAGTCTTGCACCTTAACAACCATCCCACCTGCTGACCCTATAAATTCCATTTTCAAGAGTACCTTAGCTAAAGTTTCTATCATCCTAAGCACAGAGGGGGAAAATGAAAATTTCTGTAGCGTAACTTCAAGTCTTCACCAACAACCACTTGTTTCTGCATTATTACCGTGTTGAATTGTGTCTTTATAAAGATAGGCTGAAGTCTCCATCCCTGGCACCTGGATGTGACCTTATTTGGAAATAGGGTCTTGGCAGATATGATCAAGTTAAGATGAGGTCATACGAGATGAGTGCAGTTACTAGATCCAGTGACTGGTGTCCTAAGAAGAAAGCCACACAGGGACACAGAGACACACAGAAAGAATGCCATGTGATATTGGAGGCAGCATGAAGTGATGCAGCTGCAAGCCCAGGAAGGCCAAGCTCTCCCACAACCACCAGAAGCTAGGAGGGAGGCACAGAAGGATCCTCCTCTAGAGCCTTCAGAAGGATCAGAAGAATAAACTTCTGTTGATTCAAGGTACATAGGTTGTGGTGATTTATTACAGCAGCTCTAGGAAACTAATGGAGTGCTAGACGATTACATTAAACTAACTTTTTAGTGACAAAGACCTCAACTTGACTCCTGTACTACGAGTCATGCGTGATGTGTGAACAGGTAGATGATGGACAGCTAGGTGCAAGCTCACTGCCCAGCTCCACCCTACTGCTACCAGTGTGGATGGCCTGGACACTGCCTCTGAAGTGGGTGGAGGCCAAGCCCACAAAAGCCACAAGACCCTGAAAAACCAGGAACTCCAGCTTACTCCTGAGGCTGAAGGCAAGTTGGTAAGATGACTCCATGGACTTAAACTGGCACGAGTCCCATGTGAGTTCACATGAACTCTACAAGTGCTCGAAGGAGGAAGGACAACTGGAAGTCTGTTCTCGCAATTCTCCCTCATAAAGGCTTCAGGCAGCCTGTATGAACGCCACAAAAGGCAGCTCGGGAAATAGGGGCTGCAGCTGTCATCAGAGTACAGTCCGCAGAGGAGTGGGGAAAGGAAAGGACCTCTGCTTACTCATCGCTCTTAGAAAATAAAACTTTTAAATGATAAAAGTTAGTAAATGCCGCATAGGAAATTTGGAAGACAGAGTGAAAAAAAAAGGGAACATAATAACCACTGCCAATTCTCACTACTCACAGGTTAAGTCAGCTGTTTACCTTTTTGGAACATTTTCTACCGTAAAAGTCCCATATGCTCACTGCAGAGAACGTGAAAATGCAATAAACAGAAAGAAGAATGTACACCCAAGTTTTATCATCCAAAGATACTTGTGTTAATCTTTTGGCATGTTTCACTCAAGTCTTTGTCTTTTTTTTTTTTTTAACAGTGTATTTTTTGAGGTACTTTTGCTCATACTATATATATATATACAGTTTTGTGTACTAATTAAAAAAATTTAATTCTACATATTTACCATGTTACTATAAACTCTTTCTAAACTTGAATTTAATGGCTGCATAGCAGTTTACCAAGTGCGTATGCCATGATTTACCGTACCATTCCCAAATTCGTCAGTATTTTGCCATTATCAATAATAAGGTTGAAAAAAAATCTGCACAATCCTTTTTATGTATTTAGGGTTACTTTTTTCTCTTTCTCCTTCCTTCCTTCTTTCTTTCTATTACCAGAGGGTTCATGTGTTTGCCAGGGAGATAGAAAAGAAACAGAGAGAGAGGGAGAGAGGGAAAGGGGGCATGATCATGCCACAATCCCTTCTCCTTCCTCCATTGTGATGTACACATCTACACTGCCAGGTGTGTGCTGCTAATACATGTTATCTTTAATGGCTGCAGAGTTCTAGATTTAGGGAGAATCAGTTCTTTGCCGCCTCTTCAGTTCTTTCTGCCTGGGTTGATTTCCTTTTTCTTAGCACTCTCTCTGAATCCTCTCTTTCATTTTCAGTTCACTTGTAGACTTGCCAGCTCCGTGAAGTTTTTTCAACCCGTCTCGCCCACATTAATATCTCCCTCCAGGGAACCGTCTGTACCTTCACTTTAGTACTTTATTGCCAATCGTCTTGTATTATTTTTTTTCTTTTACTTTCGATTATAAGTGTGTGAAGAGCAGAAATGCATCTTATAATTCCTTTTGACTCCTACAGGGTAAAGCACATAAAAGCAAGGTCCAGTAAATTCCAGTGAATGGAGTGGATCTGAAGTGCAAAGTGACTCAGTGTACTGACCCAAAGGCCAGTGAGCTTGTCCTTGCTGAGTAACAACAATGCGACATGTAGCATACCTTCAATATCTAAAGTAAGAATTAAAACTGTGTTACTTTATAATCATCAGAACTGGATCGAGTTAGGAAAACATTGCTACTTACTCATAATCCGTGCAAACCCGAAGTCACAGATCTTGGTTATTCCTTGCTTTGTTATCAGAATATTTTCAGGTTTTACATCTCTGTGAATACACTGTAAGATACTATTTGATTACTTTTCTGAGCCATCAAAATAACAAAAGAATAAACATTAACTACTAGTTTTAAATGACTGGTAAATCTGTGACATAAACAAAATATGGACTGCCTTCATTTTAATTTTTTTAGAAGTTTATTTTGTTTAGAGAGAGGGAAAGTGAGAAAGCACTTGGGAGGGGGGAGCACCCCACAATCCCTTCTTTATTCTCCTCTTGGGATTTTAGGCACACACACGTGCACCTTGCCTGTTATTTAAGCCTCTGGATCTGGAACTTGAACTGCACCATCAGCCATGTGGGATCCAGCTGCCTTAACCACCATGTCACCTGACTTGCCTTCTTCATTTTTTTTTTAAAGAATTATTTATTTAACTTTTATTTATCATTATTATTATACTTTTAAAATTTGCTACAGGGCACACGCTCTTACCAGAGAGAGACACAGAGAATAAAGGAAAGTGAGAAAGCAAGCCATCAGGTCTGGGACTTGAACTGTGGTCAGCCATGTGGGAGTCTACTATGCCATTTGCTGGCCCCTCTCTTCATTTTTTTTTAAAAAAGAATTTAATTTGGAAAATTTCACTTGTAATCTTGTCATAACAAAGAAAATTAGAATAATAATGGCTACATATGAACACTATGTCTGATTTTTTTTTAAATATGGGAGTACTTTATAAAAATAAAAAAGAAAATTATATTAAAAAAAAAAAAAAAAGAAGAAGGGAGTACTGGGGCCAGCAGATGGCATTATGGTTACGTCACTGGATTCCCACATAATCGACCATGGTTCTAGTCCCAGACGTGGTAGCTTGAACCTCACACTGAGTACGTATGTATACGGGCCCAAAATCCCAAGAGGAGAATAGAAGAAAAGGGATTGTGGCATGGTCATCCCCCTAGGGGATGATTTCTTGCTTTCTGTCTCTCTGTCTCTCCAGTGAGCACACGCACCCTACAGCAAAAATTTCTTGGGACCAGCGGTTAGTGTAATGGCTATGTCGCTGGACTCCCATGTAGTCGACCGCAGTTCGCATCCCGGACCCGGTGGCTTGAAACTCACACCAGGCACATGCGCATGTGTGCCCAAGATCCCCAGAGAAGAACGGAGGAGAAGGGATTGTGGCATGGCCATCCTCCCTGGAGGGTGATTTCTCGCTTTCTGTCTCTCTGTCTCTCTCTGTCTGTCTGGTGAGCGCACGCGCCCTATAGCAAAAAACCTCTCAAAAAAAAATTCTTAAAAAAAAAAAGGGAGTATCATACAACTATAAACTACTTATTTTTCTTAAGTCTTATTTGTTTATTGAGAGAGAAGAGAAAGAGAGATAAGAACTCTCAACAGGCTTTCACACCAGGAATCCCCTACCACCCTTCCCAGCCGACCAGGATCACGGACAAACATATAGTCTACAGTGAAACTGGGAGCCAGACCCTAATCCTCCATCTGACCTCCAGCATTGCAGAGCATTTTGTCACTGCTGTGGGGCCCATCCAATTATTCCTCTCACTTTTACTGGGCCCTACTTAAAGCGTAGGAGGTAAAACCCTCAGTGAGATTAGACTCAGAGCACCTCTAATAAGAACTGCTGCCACATGGGACCAGTGGGTGACATGGTGGTGGTGAAGCCACTGGACATTCTCAAATGGCTGACAGTGGTTTGAGCCCTGGACCTGGAAGCTTGCTTTCTCACTTTCCCTCTCTCTCTCTCTGATCAAATTAAAATAAATGAATAAATAAATTAAATTAAAAATAAATAATTCTTTAAAGAAAAAAAGAACTGCTGCTACTCAAGAATCACAATTCATGTCAACAAACTATTGCAGATTTGAGAAATTGGAAAACCACTTAAATTATAACCCAAAAAATTCACTGAAGGCATCAGATGGAACTGTTCTGGGTAGGCTGGGATGTATGGTCACTCTATTTATCAGAGATTCAGCATTTGGGGACAAGCGTCATTTTGATTTCCTCGACAGTGAACGAACCTGGAATGATCGGTAACCCTCCTGAGATGTTCCCACAATGCTGCCAGTCCCCCTCACAGGGTAGCCGGACCCCCTACGAGGCACTTTCACCTCAAGGACGCTCCTGCTGCTCTCCTACATGCAGTGACTTTACAACCTGCTACATCTTCTCCACCCAGGCTGGCCCAGCGAGGGCTGAGCTAGGGGCATGCGTGCGGGCAGGACTGGTGAGCTCACGCATTGCATCTTAATTCCAGAGAGTGTTTTCTCTGTGTGGAAGGGATGTGAGAAAGCAACTCAGATCCTGCTCTTCAAATCACATCTTTCACTTACCCACCCCTAAAAGGAACGTCGATAAATATAATCTTTTCTGTGCCTTGGCCCTCATATAGAAAGAAGTCTGTACTTTTCACAGAACTTTCACATTAATTATTGCATTTTTGAAACAATCCTGTGATTGCTGGTGGCCACTGAGAGTTCATGGTCACAATACTCAGCTCCCTCTGCCTCGTGTCTCCGCCATGCTATCCGTCCCTTATATTATTCCTGTTAAACTGACAATTCTGAAATAATTTCCTTTGCTTCATCATAGATATCTAGGAATAGAGAAAGCTGAGCCCTGAATACATTTTAGGTCACAAAAATGACACTGGGTCACAGAAACATGTTCCTATTTAGTTTCGATTACTGTCAACTATTTGACAATCTGTATAAACGGTATTTAGAAGAAAATTTTTAGGTCTCTTAAAAGTCCTAAGGTCTTAAATATTACTTTTTAAGAATACACTGTTGGAATATAAACCAACAAAATTTAATACCTTTTTTTTTTTTTTTTAGATTTTTGCTATAAGGGTGTGTGCACTGGCTGAAGAGACAAAGAGAAAGTGAGAAAACCACCCCCCAGGGGGTATAGCCGTGCCACAATTCCTTCTCTTCCATTCTCCTCTGGGGACTTTGGGCACACACTCACACATGCTTGGTGTGAGTTTCAGGTCACCAGGTCTAGGGCTCGAACTGTGGTCAACTTCATGAGAGTCTAGTGCCTTAACCACTATGCCACCTGTTGGCCCCTAATACCCTGTCTTTTAAGCAAAACATGTATGGAACAGACCAACACTCTTAGTCATTAATACTCACTTATTACTGTTGGTGATTTAATTAGAACAGGTCATGTCTGTGAGTTGAGTGTGTATCAAATTGTAACTTTTTTAGACTATGCCTGGCATGACAAAGTAAATGGTCTTATATTGATATTTGCCTACTAACCTATTTAGGTATTTGGCTCTAATGCAAATCCATGTGAATTTATAGTAGTTATTTTTGAACCAAAAGAAAACAAAGGCACATGAAATATTGATGTATGTCAAAGAAATAGAAAAAGTTATTGGTATAAGTGCAGGTAAGAAGCTATCAATAAAGAGGATAGGATACTGAAGAAGGAAAAAGGAAAGTAAAAATAATTGGAACTGTCAAGGCCAGCAGGTGGCATGGTGGCTAAAGCACTGGACTCCCATGTGACTGATCATGATTTGAGTTCCAGACCTGGCGGCTTGCTTTCTCAGTCTTCCTCTCTCTCTGGCCAAATTGAAGAATAATAATAAACAAATAAAGTTAAATGAATAATTATCTTTTTAAAAAATTATTTAATTTTATTAATTATCATAATTTTATTAAAAATATATATTTTTTACGTTGACCAGAGAGAGACCACCACCTGCAGACCCAAAATTATTATTGTTTTTAAATAATTGGAACTGTGGGACCAGCAGTTGGCATAATGGCTATGTCGCTGGACTCCCATGTAGTCAACTACTGTTTGAGTTCCGGACCTGGTGGCTTAAACGCACGCTGGGTGCATGTGTGTGCATGTCTGCCCAAGATCCCGAGAGGAGCATAGAGGAGAAGGGATTGTGATGTGGTCATCCCCCCTGGAGGTGATTTCTCACTTTCTATCTCTCCGTCTCTCTCTGTCTTTCTGGTGAGTGCACACACCCTATAGCAAAAACCTCTCAAAAAAACAAAAACCAAAAAACAAAAAACTGGAACTGTAAGAAAAATCCTGAAAGGTGGATGATACTCAGACATAGCATTCATTTTCTCCCCTGCAAAGCCATGCTCAGTGCAAACTCTCACGATGTCTCTTGGAATCAGCTTATTTTCCACTAGAGAACAAGAAACAAGAAGTCTTGGTGACAGAAGAGTTTTAACGAACTTGGGTTTCATACACAACTTTTAGCAAACATTACTCAGGATGGGTTATTGTGGCTATTGCACAATCTCATTTTTATAGGCTCACGAGCCAGCAAGAAGAGGTATACAGTATGTTAGACCTGACTTTCAACTTACATAATCTTCTCTGGAAATGTCCACATCAGAAATTGCTTCTTTTATAGTCTGACTGAAGAATAAGCAGTTTTCTATGATGAGAAGTCTGTTCTCTTTGTGCTTTGCAGGTGGGTTCTCATAGAGCCATAAGAGAGAAAAAGGACCCTTCCTTGACATCCAAATAATTAATATTAACAGGATAATGGTGGATGTTGCAGCCTCATACACTCGTTATCTCAGAAGTCACTATAGTTTTTAACATTTTTATTTATTATTCTCATTTTTTGAGAGGTCTTTGCTATAGGGCATGTGCACTTGCTGGAGACAGACAGGAAGCAGGAAATCACCCCTCAGGAAGGATGGCCACACCACAACCCTTTCTCCTCCATTCTCCTCTTGGGATTTTGGGCATGCACACACATGTACCTGCCATGAGTGTTAAGCCACTGGGTCTGGGACTCGAACCACAGTCGACTACATGGTAGGCCCTCATTATTATTATTATTTTTTAAATTGCTATAGGGCACATGCACTAACCAGAGAGAGAAAGCAAGGAGCCAGATCCTGGACTTGACCCACTGTTAGCCATATGGGAGTCTAGTGCCTTAACCACCACGTCACCTGTTGGCCCTGAAATCACTATAGTTTTATCATTTGAGAGAAAGTTCTGTTTTCTCTAGTCAATGCATCAAATACACAAAAGTCCATGGGTTGGTTCATAATGGTGTTAAGTGTCTCACATTAGTTATCTCACTCTGGTGATATTATAAGATAAACAAAACAAAATGTGTAGGTGTTTTCTTAAGTCAAAGGCTTCTCAAAATTTAATGGACACATGAGTCACCTGGAGCTCTTGTTAAAGTGCCAATTGTGACTCTGCAGATTTGGAGTGGGCCCAAGATTCTGCATTTCTTTTTCTTTACTTTTTTTTTTTTTTTTTTTGAAGACAGATTTTTGCTATAGGGCTTGTACTTGCTGGAAAGACAGAGAGAGGAAGAGAAACAGAAAGTGAGAAATCAGGTATGGCCACACTGCAATCTCCTCTCTTCCATTCTCCTCTTGGGGTTCTGGGCATGCATGCACTTGCACTGGCATGAGTTTCAAGCTGCTGAGTCCACGACCTACACTGTGGTGGGCCTTGTGGGTGTCCAGAGAGGACATAACATTGTGTAATGTAATCATTACACCATCTGCTGGTCCCAAGATTCTGCATTTCTAACAAACTCCCAGGTGATCTCTGTGAACCACACCTTTAGTAGCAAGGCCTTAGTCCTTTGCTACTTTAACCTTCATCATCCTGCTTAGGATCACAATTCTGGAGCTAATAAGGTGCGCATGGTTTCCATCAGTTGAAAGCTGTGAATCTTCAGCAACAACACTGGGTCAGATTGCCTTTTATATTTGAGTGTATAATGGAGATCCTTTAAAAATAAAGAGCTTATAAAGGTTTTAGATATGTTATTGTAACAGTTTATGTATGACTAGGTTTAGTTCCTTTGCATGCATTTTAGCTAAAGAGAAAATAAAAAGATAGATAGAACAATGCTTACCACAGCACAGGAAAATGAGATAACCAGAATTCAGAAGTAATCTCCATCTTGGAAGAAGGATGTTAGTCTGAAAAATTATCCCTTTTTATAGAGATAATAGATTATCAAGAGAAGTTTTCAGTATGGCAAGGTATAAGATACAGAATTTGCTTCAAGCAGAGAAAGGATGACAGATGAAATGAGCTACAGTAATATTTTGCATCCACTGGAAATAATTAGTCACAAAATCATATATTGACTGATGGGCTGATTCATTTAGTCACTCACTCATTCAATAAATATTTATTTAGCACCTCTTATGTAAAAAGATACATGCTAGGCATTGAACAGATATGAAGGTAAATCAGACACAGGAATTGCATTCAAGCCTACAATCTATTGGGCTGTTGGAAAAGTCTTGACACATTTTTGCATAGACAAATATAGAAAAATATCTCATGACTTTTCTGATGACCCAATAGTACGCAAGAAAGTGTTTAATTATATAGGGATAAAGTACATTTATGGTAAACAATATACCGGGTCATTGGAAAAGTCATGATGTATTTTTTGCATAGAAAAACAGGAAAATACATCATGACTTCTTTTTACAGAGAGATGTTTGCTACAGAGCACGTATGTTCACTGGAGAGACAGAGACAGAAAGCAAGAAATCACCTCTTGGAGAGATGGCCACACTGCAATCCCTTCCCCTCCATTCTCCTCTCGGGATTTTGGGCATGCATGCACAAGCACCTGATGTGAGTTTTAAGTCACCAGGTGTGGGACTTGAACTGCAGTCAACTACATGTAAGTGCAGCAATATAACCATTACGCCATCTGCTGGTCACATTATGACTCTTCTGATGACCCAATATATTGTCAGAGAGGGCACGTGTTTGCCAGAGAGAGAAAACATACCCCAATGGTGTGTGATCATGTGACGATCTCTTCTCCATTGTTTCCATCATGTCAGGATTTGGAGCATGCACTCACACATGCCTGGTATGTCTTTCAAGCCTCTGAGGCCTAGATTCAAACCACAGTTGGCCGTGTGGGATCTGGCACGTAACCATTGTACTATGGGGCCAAGCCCAGTAAACAATATTTTTCAAAAACCATTTTAACTATCCATAAACTTCCTACAGCATTTTTGGGTAAACTTTAATATTTCCCATATCACGGTAGAAAGCAACAGAGAAGGGACTCCATCCAGCATCGTCTGTACTAAGCTTATGAAAGCACAGTTTGCACTGTGAAGAACAGGTTTAAAGAACTTGTGAACAACATCCCTCTACATGAGCAGAAAACAAAGTATTTCTATTTAATATAATAAAAGCTTTGTAGCTTTTCTTACAATGAAAGAAAGCTCCCCGTTAGTATTGAAATTTAGTTCCATGATCGCACATTTTCTTTCTCAGCAATCCTAGATTACTATGGTAGACATTCTGTTGGCATCAAAACGGACCCCACGGTAGTCTCTGTTGTTGCCTCAGAGCTGTCTCTGCTTAGGCACTGACTCGGAACGGAAGGTCTGGAGAGATTCTGTAGAAGCTATCACTGGAGCAAAAACACCCTGGAGACAACCTGATGCTTCCACTGGACTAGATTGGTACAAGTGGACATCAGAGAGAACAACGACTGAAATATCAAACATATAAAATCTGTGTAATGATGCCCCATCGCCATCTCCCAAAAGTCCGTGTCGTCGTTACTGCTGGCGGTTGCTAAGATACCAACATGTTTCTCTGAGTATTGGCAAATAAAGGAAATCACCATGTATTTATCTTACTGGATTTTACAGTAGCCAGAGTCCAGGAGGATAAGTTCTTTTTCATATTATTCAAATTAATAAATGCAGAAGGAATAATAAAATTACCATATTTTAACCTCAATGAAATACTGGACACATACAATAACCATCACTGGAAGCTGACACCATCACGTAAAAAGGCTGGCAGGAAATTAATAATGGACGGGATCAAACTAATACTTGCTGAGCACACTCATCATTTTAAAAATTATTGAAAGTGGGATGACCAGAAACTATATAAATCATAATACTGATGATTTTTTTTTGGAGAGGCTTTCTTTTTTTTTTTTTTTTTTGAGAGGTTTTTGCTATAGGGCATGTGTGCTCGCCAGACAGACAGAGACAGAGAGACAGAAAGCGAGAAATCACCCCCAGGGGGGATGGCCATGCCGCAATCCCTTCTCCTCCATTCTCCTCTTGGGATCTTGGGCACGCACGCACACATGCCCGGCGTGAGTTTTAAGCCACCGGGTCCGGGACTCGAACTGCGGTCGACTACATGGGAGTCCAGTGACATAGCCATTACACTAACTGCTGGTCCCTGGAGAGGCTTTTTTTATAGGGTGCGTTGAGTCGCCAGAAGACAGAGAAAAACAGAAAGCAAGAAATCACCCCCCTCCCCGCCCCGGGGGAATGACCATGCCACAATCTCTTCTACCCCAATCTCCTCCCAGGATCTTGGGCACACATGCACATGCGCCCAGTGTGAGTTTAAACCACTGGGTCCGCGGTCAACTATGTGGAAGTCCAGTGACATAGCCATTACGCCGACTGCTGGTCCCAATACTGATGATGTTATGAGAAGTGTGCAGCCCCATATCTGAAATATTCTTGTCTAAAAAAAGTGAAGCTGGATATGATCATGGCTTTAGATATAAATACCACTTACAGGAAAAACAGGTGAGAAAATAAGTTATAACTTAAGTACACACAGGAAGCAATTGGCCCAAACTATTTCTACAACACAGTAGTATTCACCGTGTGGTTCTTGGGCCAGTAACCCCAATATCATCTGAGAGAATGTGAGACATGCAGACTCTCAGGCCCCACTCCAGACTTGCAGAGTCAGAAACTCTGGGGGGTGGAACCCAGCAGGCAGAGTATTAATACGCCCTCCAAGGGACTTTCATGCATGTTCAAGTTTGAGAACTATGGCTCTACAGAATGAATGACACAGCAAATTAAACAAAACACAAAGGGGAAGGGGTACTGTCATTGACTTAAAGGCTTGTGAAATCTAAGAACAAAATAAAAACCAAGTATCATGCGGAAATCACACTACTGATATCCTGAACAATTATTTTAACCCAATTTAAAAATAATCTTAGATATCATTAGTACTATAGCAAAAGGAAATGTCAAGTTTCTATATGCTTTTTTAAAAAGAATTATTTTATTATAATTTTTTAAATTTATTTATTTATTTTTAATTTGACCAGAGAGGGACATAGCAAGAGAGAGAGACAGACAGACAGAGAAAGTGAGAAAGTAAGCCACCAGGTCCAGGCCTTGAACTATGGCCCGCCACGGGGGAGTCCAGCACCCCCAACCACCACCCCACCTGCCGGTTCCCTATCCACTTTTCATTCATAAGGAAGTAGTAATGACAAAGGGCCATGGGTAATGCATCACTTTTCCTCACATTCTGTAATTTTCCTGTTTTCCTCTTCTGGTTCTTACTTTCCCTCCCTCGTTAGCTCTTCGAATAGATCCCTGAGCTATTTAGAAGAAAAGAGACATTATAAAAAAATAAACACGTTAAAGGTATTACTTACGTTATGTTTATGACAGAAATTAAGAGCCTGAAGTGTTTGCCATAATACACTTTTGATCACTCCATCAGCAACTCTAGGGGCAAAAGGGAAAAAGGAAATGAAAACTCCTGGGATGGATTTTCGGAAGCACGGGCTAGGAATAGAAATGGAATGGGCAGTTTGTCATAGCCAAAGAACACAGTGCAAAGGGGATCCTGGAATTTTTTTTTTTGAATGTTTTGGTTTTTTTTTTTAATAATTATGTATTTAATTTTAGTATCATCATTATTTTTAAATTTGCTATAGGGCATGTGCGCTCACATGCAAGAGAGACAGAGGGAAAGTGAGAAAGCAAGCCAGCAGGTCTGAGACTCAAACCCCAGTTGGCCATGTAGGAGTCTAGCACCCCAACCACCGTGCCACCTGCTGACCCCCCTTTTTTAAATGTTTTAATGAAAATTTCTTGGGCCAGACAGTGGTATGGTGGTTAAGGTGGCTGGATTCTATATGGCCAGTGAGCAGTTCAAGTCCTGGACCTGGCAGCATGGAAAACACGCTGGGCAAGTGTGTGTGCACACCCCAAATCCTGAGAAGACTGGAAGAGAGGGAATTTGGCATAGCCATCCCCACCTTCCCCTAGAGGGTGCTTTCTCTCTTTCCCATAGGCCCTAGAGCAAAATTTTTACTGTCTTTTTATTATTTTTATATGAGTTTCTTCTGTAGTTTGAGTGTTTTTTTTTTTTTTTTTTTTTTTTTTTTTTTTTTTTTTTTTGGGCTGTAGAATTAGCAGCAGCAGCTGTAGCTACAGCAAAAGAGAAAGAGACAGAGACAGGTACCCTTGACAGGGTCTTCATCATGCCACAATCCCATCCTCCCATCCTCCCAAAGTCTTCCAGCCAGTCAGAATCACAGGCATGCCTCAGTGTTCAACCCAGGATCCAGGTTTATGGCTCCAAGGTTGAGCAGGCCCTCTGTTTGTGTTACCATTGACTGGGCTTATAGTTTGCAATTTTATATCCCTTACAGATCCATGCTTATCATGAAAATTCAAACAATATTGAAAAGTAAAGGGATGAAAACTGCTGACTCAAATAATTGTTGTCATTTCTGGTGGCTGTCCTTTCAGGCCTTTCTGTTTCTCTCTGTCTCTCTCTGTAATTACTTTTTAATGTTAAGTTTTTTAAAGAATTGTTTATTTAATTTTACTTATTATCATTGTTTTTAATTTGCTATAGGGCATGTGCACTCACCAGAGACAGAGGGAGATTGGGGACACCAATTGTGTGTTCAGCCAGTGGAAGTCCAGCACTTTAACCACTCTACCACTTGCTAGCCCTGAATTTTAAATAAGTACAATTATACGCTTCAAAATTTTAGAAGTTTTGAAGCCTTCTTTCTGACACCTGCCTAGTCACCCATTTATTCTCTGCGATTCTACCCTTTGTCTCTTTCATAGACATTTTATGCATAGAGGCACAAATACTAACAGGCACACGTGTTTTAGTGGCCATACAGGTTCTGATTATATTGATGTATCCCAATGAACTTCAGTTCTCTTTGGTGAGCAGTTAGGTTGAGGCAACTTGTATTTCTAGAAACATTCTGATGAACATCTGTAAGAATCCATTTTATTGTAGCTGTGCAATTATTTCTTTAAGTAGTTCTGGAAGTGAAACTTGTAGGACCAAAGGCAAGCACATTATATTTTCATCCTTTAGGGATGAACTTCAGGTAGACCTAATACCTGGTTTTACAGCAAAAAAAGGTACAGTTGGAAGATGGACTGTCAATTCATCCAATTCATGCTGGTGATAAACACTCATGCATGCACAGCAGTTACTGTAATAGCTACTTGGCATCTGGTATGCAGGCATGTCTACAGCCTAAGGGGAGGAGTCCAGGGAGAAGAAAGGTTCCATGGGACCAGGAGTTGGCGTAATGGCTATGTTGCTGGACTCCCATGTAGTTGACCTCAGCTTGAGTCCTGGACCTGGAGGCTTAAACTCACTCTGGGTGCGTGCGTGCCCAAGATCCCGAGAGGAGAATGGAGGAGAAGGGACTGCAGCATGGCCATCTTCCCGGGGGTGATTTCTCGCTTTCTGTCTCTCTGTCTCTCTCTGTCTTTCTGGCGAGCACACACGCCTTATAGCAAAAACCTCTTGGGGAAAGAAAAAAAAAATGAAAGAAAGAAAGGTCCCCTAAGAATGGAAGGCTGTGAGCTTTCTGTCCCTGGCAGAATCATCACTCTGTGTAGAAAATATTAGAAATATCATGGCCAGATATATTTTCCACTGGGAAATGGGGAATTTGGGAAACTTGTACTCTGTCTAGGAGTATTCTACTTTACGTAACCTTTAAAAAAATTTTTTTTTATAATGTAAAGCAATTACATTCCCTAGAACTTTTTAAACTTGGTGTCTTTCCATCACTCACATCACTGTCTCATGATGATGCCTTCACATTTACATACTGCCAAGCTACCCTCTCTGAGGAAGGTTATACCCATTTACACTCCCACCAAACATCTGTGCATCTCTGCACATACGTCCCTATCTCCTCACTGTCTTGCCAGGATTTGGTTTTGCCAATGTTATGTGTGCCAACCTGTGGTTAGAATGAAATGGTATCTCATTTTGGTTTTTATTTGCATTTCATTAATTTTTAGTGATTACTCATTTTCATAGGATTATTGGACACCACATTTTTCTTTCAGTTTCTACTTCATGGCCTTTACTGATTTTTTAATTGGTTTGTTTACTCTGCTCTTATTTTTTTCACAATTAAACTATTTTTAATTTTTATTTTATTGATTTTTATTCAATCAAGATATAATCAAAGATAGAAATGAAAAATACATAACAAACCAGCAATTAGCTTGAAATTATTGGGAAGAATAGAAATGTCATCATGATTATTTTAATCCTAATAAACAAATATGATTAAACAAATTTGTCAAATTCTATATATTTGTTTATTCTTTTCTTATTGATTTATGAAGACTCGATGTATAATGGAATTTGTTATATATATGAAAATATTTTTCTCAGTGTTGGTGTTTATCTTTCATCCCTGCTGATGGAGATAGTGTTTTTTGCTGTTATTTTCAAAAATTTTAAGTACAGGGACCAGCAGTTAGCGTAATGGCTATGTTGTTGGACTCCCATGTAGTTGACTGCGGTTCACATCCCAGACCCAGTGGCTTAAAACTCACGCCGGGCATGTGTGCATGCGTGCCCAAGATCCCGAGAGGAGAATGGAGGAGGAGGGATTGTGGCGTGGCCATCCCACCTGGGGGGTGATTTCTCGCTTTCTGTCTCTCTGTCTCTGTCTGGCGAGCGCATGTGCCCTATGGCAAAAAACCTCTCAAAAAGAAAAATTGAAGGACAAAGGCTATTTTTACTAAATGTCTACTGTAAAGATTTTTTTAATCAAAAGTACAATTATGTAATGCTCCAAACATACCCATCAATCAGATTTAATATCTTGTCATAGTTGAACATTTAAATAAATTTAGGTCCTTTTTAAAAGATTGAACTTATGCCGATAGAGCCGGTTTCACAGAATAGTGCTGATTGATACAAGTTAATTTTTGCACATGGGGTGTGTAACGCTATATGGATCAATCTATGGAATTCTATTAAGTTTTAAATTTTTTAAAGAATTATTTTATTTAACTTTATCTACCTATATCTATCTACCTGTCTGTCTATCTATCTATCTTTCTATCTTCATCTATCTATCTATCTATCTATCTATCTATCTATCTATCTATCTATCTACCTACCTATCTATCTATCTTCATTTGACCAGAGAGGGACAGAGTGAGAGAGAGAGAGGGAAAGTGAGAAAGCAAGCCTCCCGGTCCAAGACTCAGATTGCAGTCAGCCATGTGGGAGAGTCCAGTGCCCTTAACCACCATGCCACCTGCTGGCCCCTTAGGTTTTTAATTTTAATCTTTTTTCTTTTCTTCATAACAGCACATGCATTTGCAGGAAGTAAAGGGGAGCAACCTCCGTAGAGTCCATAGTGCTACAATCCCCTTCCTCCAGTCCTCTAGTCCACTGAGTATCGGCTGCCTGAGCACAGGCGGAATACTCCTCCAGCTGAGCGGGCCGAGGACGTGAAACGTGGTCACTATAAGGGATCTGGCCTCTCCTGAGCAACACCTTACCACTGCACCACAGAGCTGGCCCTCCATTAGTTTTAGTAACTCTTTGTGTGATTCTCTCAGATTTTGTAAAATAGTATCAGGCAAATAAAGACGATTTTATCTCATTTCCAGAAGCTATCTATCTTGGGGCCAGCAGATGGCATGGTAGTTAAGGTGTTGGACTCCCACATGGCTGACTATAGTTTGTGTCCCAGATCTGGTGATTTACTTTCTCTCTCTCTCTCTGGTGAGCACATATGACCTATAGCAAATTAAAAATAATAATAATAATAAATAAAACTAATAAATAATTCTAAAGAAAAGCTAGCTATGTTATTTTCTTATTACATTAAGTTGGCTAAAGTTCTCAGAACAATGTTATATTGCAGTGGTGGAAACTTACACTCTTACTTTGTTTCTGACTTTAATGGAAGTCCCTTTAGTGTTTTACCATTAAGTATAAAATTGGGTGTTGGTCTGAAGAAGGGCTCTTTTGTGTGAATATGTTAAAAAGGTTTATTTTCTCTGGGCCAGCCTGTGCCATAGTGATTAAGTGGGCTGGAGCCCACATGGCTGGCCACATGGTTTGAGTCCTGGACCCAGTGGCTTGAGAAACACACCAGGAATGTGTGTGTGCATATCCAAAAGGAGAGATTGGGGGGGAGAGATTGTGGTGCAACCATTCTCTACGGAGAAGGGGGTGCTTCCTCTCTCTCTCCCCTCCCCTCTTGAGCACACATGCTTTCTGGACAAATAAAAAAGTTTCTTCTTTTTTCTTATTGTCAGAGGGTGCATGTGCTTACCAGACAGAGAAAGCACTCCCGAAGGGCATGATCTCATTGCAAGCCTTTTCTTCCATTTTTTTATCCCGTAAGGATTGGAGGTATGTATGCACATATGTCTAAAGTGTTTATCAAGCCACCCAAGTTGGGATTTGAACCACAGTTGGCTATGTTAGATCTGACTCCCTATGTATGCCATTTAAACTGCTATACCATGGGCCAGCCAAGAAAACTTTTTCTTTTTTTATAGAGAGGTTTTTGTTTGTTTGTTTTTTGCTAGAGGACACATGAGCTCATCAGAAAAAACAGAGAAACAGCCAGAAATCACTCTCCAGGGGGATGGCCATGCTGCAATCCCTTCTCCTCTGTTTTCCTCTCAGGATTTTGGGCATGCACGCACATGTGCCCAGTGTGAGTTTTAAGGTGCTGAGTCTAGGACTTGAACCACAGTCAACTACATGGGAGTCCAGTGATATAACCATTATGCCATCTGCTGGTCCCCAAAAAACATTCTTTTAATTCTAGTTGTGAAGGTTCTTTGTCTTTTGGTTTTCAGTAATCAGGAAAGGATGTTGAATTTATCAATTTAAAATTTACCATTTAAAATTTTATCAATCATATGCATTTTAATTAAAACTTTATTTTCTTTATTCACGAGAGAGCACATGTACATATACATGAGAGAGAGTGAGTGAGAGCGAGCTGAGCACCCTTCACAGGTTCTGGTCATGCTGTGATCCCCTTTCTCCATCCTCCAGCCCACTGGATCCTGGGCACGCATGCGCACCTGGTGTGATTCAGGCTGCCCGGGTGGGGAGTGGAACCCCAGGCGTGTGAGAGTCAGTTCTCTTGTGCAGTTATTACCCCTGCACCACGAAGCCAGCCCTATATCTACATTTTTTCTTAAATTTTGCCAGAGGACATGTGCTCTCACCAAGGAGATACAGAGGGAGAAGGGGAGGGAAAAAGCACACCCCACAGGGCATGGTCACTCCACGATCCCTCCTCCTCCGTCTCTGCATACTGTCAGGATTTGAGGCATACACACACACACACACACACACACACTTTGATATGTTTCCCAAGCTGCCAGGTGTGGGACTCAAAACACATGGTCGGCCATGTGGGATCCCCTGCCTTAACCACCAAGCCATGGAGCCAGCCCACTCATATCTACTTCTTTTTTTTTTAGTTTGTTATAAAGCATGTGTGCTTTATAACAAAAAGAGACAAAAAGAGAAAGAGAGAAAATTAGAAGTCACCTCTCAGGGGCGAGGGCCATGCAGCAATCCCTTCTTCTTTATTCACTCAGAATTTTGGGCATTTGTACACATGCACTGGGGTGCTTGGCCTGATTTTCAAGCGGACAGGTCTGGACTTGAACCACGTAGTCAGACATGTGGGATCCAGCCACCTTAACCTCCATGCCACCTGCTGGCCCATATCTACTCTGTAATCTCTTAAATTACCAGGGAATTATAGAAATAGATTTTTAAATATCAAACCATGGTTCATTCCTTGAATTCAGATAAACCAACATACATATTTGGCTTCCAAATGGATTGTGATTTATATATGCAGTAGACTTGTCTTTCTAATTATGTTTCTCTAGGTTAATATTCAATTGCCCTTTGAGCACATCCTAACTGAGACTGGAGAGGGGCATTCAGATGTACCTGGTCAGAAAGGGGAACTGTGGCTGGGATCTAAAATTTGCCATAGTTAATTCCACGTGGACAATGAAACTGAGAAGTGGCCATCTATCAATAGACCTTTGGTTTCTAGGTTACTTACCCATTTGGGTTTCTTTCCAATTCGTTTAAAAGTGTATGATCACAGTATTCAAAAACTAAATGCATTTTCCTTTTTCTTCTGAACACCTCAATGAGGTTCACAAGGTTCGGATGCTTTAATTGCTGCAAGGGAAATGTTATGCTTAGTGATTTTTTTTTTTTTTTTGGAGAGGTTTTCGCTATAGGGCGCGTGCGCTCGCCAGACAGACAGAGAGAGACAGAGAGACAGAAAGCGAGAAATCACCCCCCGGGGGGATGGTCACGGCGCAATCCCTTCTCCTCCATTCTCCTCTCGGGATCTTGGGCACGCACACACATGCGCCTGGCGTGAGTTTTAAGCCAGTGGGTCCGGGACGCGAACCGTGGTCAACTGCGTGGGAGTCCAGCGACATAGCCATTACGCTAACTGCTGGTTCCCCCTAGTGATTTGTTTTTAATAATAGTCTCTCCCCAGACCCCTCATAACTTTACAAAAATAAAACCTTGTTTATCATTCTGCGTGCATCTCTAGTGAAGAATTTTATTTCCATTATTCACAAGAAAAACTGCCTTTTCTAAGAATTATATACACTTCAAAATGGGAAGAAATTGAAGAACTTATTTAATGTACCTATACTACATGGTAACTGAACTGTTTGAATCTCTCTGGTGGTTCCAAATAAGGTACACAATTTAAAACAGAAGTACTAGGACTAGCTGTGGCCTGGTGGTTATGTGAGCTGGATTCCATATGGCCAACTGAAGTCTGAGTCCCACACCTGGCAACTTGAAAACATGCTGGACATGTATTTTGGAGTGACCAAAATCCTGAAAGGAGGGAGAATGGATTGCAGTGTGACCATTCCCCATGGAGGTACTTTCTTAATTCCCCTGTCTCTCTATGTCTTTCTGACAAGCACATGTGCCCTCAGGGAAATAAAAATTTAAGCAACAGGGGAGAAAAACCCAGAAGTACTAACACTAAAAATATTAATTATGTATTCTTTTTGAAACACTAGATATCCAAGTCATAAAATAACCTGAATAAAAAAATGAGGAAGTGGAATTATTATGGAAAATACACAGAATTACTGAGTAAATCACCAATACCACTGGGCTTACATATTGCCTTGGATTGAATGCAAATGGAAGTTGGATTTAAACTCAAGTCTGGATTCTAGTATTGGTTCTCAGCAATACTAGATCCCAACCTCAAATCTGATTAAACTGACTATTCTAGGCATCTGCATAATTAGTCCATGTCACAAGACAGCCTCTGTTTAATATCGTAAACCAGGGACCAGCAGTTAGCATAATGGCTATGTCGCTGGTCTCCCATGTAGTTGACCGCAGTTCGCATCCCGGACCCGGTGGCTTACAACTCACGCTGGGCGCGTGTGCGTGTGTGCCCAAGATCCCGAGAGGAGAATGGAGGAGAAGGGATTGTGGCATGGCCATTCCCCCTGGGGGTGATTTCTCGCTTTCTGTCTCTCTGTCTCTGTCTGTCTGGTGAGCGCACGCACCCTATAGCAAAAAACCAAAACAAAACAAAACAAAAAACCTCTCAAAAAAAATATCGTAAACCAAAGGAAAGAGCCATCTCTAGAACTGGATATCATTTATCATCCAAACCAACTTAACAGATATGAGCCAGGACGGTCCCAGACAAACTGGCATATATGGTCACCCTGCCCATGACGGTAGTGACTAAATAATTTAGCATATACACCAGGACATTTCATAAATGTCTTGGTGTATATGCTAAATTATTACTGGGATGAAAACTATGCATTACTGGGATGCATTTACTGGGATGAAAACTATAACCCAGGACTGTCCTGGGCAAACTAGGATATATGATCACTCCCATTTATAATTCATCTTCCCTGCTATTCCCCCAGTGTAATACAACCAACTTTCCGAACCACTCACCCAGAAAGATATCTATCATCCATCTATCTATTATCTATCTATTATCTATCTATCTATCATTTATCATCTATCTATCTTTCTATCTATCATCTATCTAAAGAGGACACAGTACTTGTACATAGTAAGTCAGTAAATAAGTCGTAGTTCCAGCAGAGTCTTAGACATAGGGACTTACGCCGCACATCTCTACATCAGTATCTGTAAGCATGGCATGACAAAAAACAACTGTCACCCTGTGTGCCTGCTGCTCAATGGTCTGGGCAAAAAGAACCTGTTATACCTTAAAAATATGCCCAGAACACCAAACCTGTTTTCTATGTCCTCCACTGCCTAAATGAACAGAAAGGCAGAGTGAGAAACAGGTCACTCAGGTAAGCCAGTGCTTTGTGTTCCAGTAAAAACACAGTGTGGGGAACCAGCAGATGGCATAATGGTTATAGTGCTGGACCCCCATGTAGTCAACTGTGGTTTGAATTCCAGATCTGGCGGCTTAAAACTCATGCCGGGCGCGTGTGTATGTGTGCCCAAAATCCTGAGAGGAGAAGAGATTGTGGTGTGGCCATTCACCCGGCCATTTGCAGTTTTTTAGGAGAGATTTCTTGTTTTCTGTCTCTCTGGCGAGGCATGTGCCCTATAACTAAAAAAAAAAAAAAAAAAAAAAAAAAAAAAAAATCTCTCCTAAAAACCCACAAAAAACAGGAGGCCAGGGGACCAGCAGTTAGCGTAATGGCTATGCTGCTAAACTCCCATGTAGCTGACTGCGGTTCAAGTCCCAGACCCAGTGGCTTAAACTCACACAGGATGTGTGTGCATGCGTGCCCAAGATCCCGAGAGGATAATGGAGGAGAAGGGATTACGGCGTGGCCATTCCCCCTGAGGGGTGATTTCTCGCTTTCTCTCTCTCGTCTTTCACTGTTTTTCTGGCAAGTGCATGTGCCCTATAGCAAAAACCTCTCCAAAAAAAAAAAAAAATAATAATAATAACAAACAAACAAGCAAAAAAACAGGGGGCCGGCAGTTGTCATGGTGGTGCTGGACTCCCACAAGGCCATCTGCAGTTCGAGTCCCGGATCTGGCAGCTTGCTTTCTTGTTCCCTCTCTCCCCCTCTCTGGTCTAATTCAAATAAATAAGGAAAATAAAGTTAAATAAAATAATTCTTAAAAACAAACAAACAAACAAAGCAAAAACACAGCATGGAAGTAAAAGGATCCTCACAAGGGGAGTAAGGGAGTCATAGAAGCTGCAGTTTGATGCAATGTCAAGGTCTAACCCGACTAAATATTCTGTCTTTGGGAACATCAGTAATTTATATCTCCTTTGCTAATGACTTAACTTAGCCTAAAGAAAGTGACTTGTTTACAGCAGAACAGGTAGTAAGGAGGGGGAGGCAAATCAAATGTAAAAAGTAGGAGTATGTGTTGGGACCAGCAGGTGGCATGGTGGTTAAGGTGCAGGACACTCCCACATGGCCAACCGTGGTTTGAATCCCAGACCTGATGAATTACTTTCCACTCTCTCTCTCTGGTCAAATTAAAATAAATAAATGAATAAGTAAAATAAATAACTCTTTGCCAGAAAAAAAAAAGGGCATGCATGGATGTAACATCTCAAAAAACGGGCAAGATAGACATTCTGAGAGCCATCACGAGACCAAGGTGAGTTGTAAATTTTACCCTAAAGCTCATTCTCAAATTGGGGCACTTATAACTCAGGAGGTACTCCCTGAACATTGACTTTATTTGAAAAGCCGGAAGAGGGAGACTGATAGGTAAAAGCTTGATTTTGACTATCAATAGAAAAACATTGGTTCAGACCCACCTGGTAGCTTAGCCTAGTGAGGTTGCTTACCTGCGCCCTCTGCTGGCTCAGAGGTAACAGTGAGCCACTTTTTTTTTTTTTTAAATCATGAGGGGTGTGTTCTTTTACATTTTAAAAATACTAGAAAGCATTATTTGAGGAAAACCGTCTTCAACTAAGATTTGAAAAGGAGAGTTAATATAACTATGATCCTCCTTTACAAATGGAATCTGTTTATTCTCTTCTAAAAACAGACAAAGTGCGAAAGTGAAGGTGGGCTGTTCTTGAGGAAATCACTGAGTGTTGTTCCTTAATGTGGCCACAAACCAGCAGCTTCTGCACTGTCTGGGAGCTTGTTGGAAATGCGGAATTTCAAGCCCCACCTTTCAGACCTCTGGACTCAGAACGTGTATTTCAATGAGATCCCCGGGGAATGCCAATATACATGAACCATTGAGAAGCGCTGCCTTAACTCAGTTTCCTCCACAAAAATATAAGGGCACTGGATAAGCAGCCTCCCAAAGATCCCTTTACATTCTAAAAGTGTAAGATTTTTAGGATAAGAAAAAATTTACACTGAGAACTTAAGATTCTCTTATACTAACTCCTAACAGAGTAAAACAAATTATAACAAAAAACTTTTATGTAAAAAATGTACACATAGCCGGGAGTGCCATTCAGTATGTCCAGGAAACCTGGGCAGTGCAGGCAGGGACCAGTCAGTGTGAATGCCTACTGATACGGACCGGTCCGGTCTGGTAGGACCCTCCAGTCAGGAAGCTCCCCTTTAGGTATGGGTGGGAGGGATGTCCAGGGAAGGACTGGGGTTGCAGGGGAGGATGTGAACATGGGGTGGGGTGTCTAGGACATGGACTTCAATATAACAATCTACAGTGGTACTTGTACATATCAAATCATATCAGAGCGGGTCATGTTCAAATGATGATCAACTTATTTCCCAAAACTGTGGATACAGAGGGATTTTAGGTCCAATGCAGGGTGAAAAGATTACCTTAAAATTCTTTGCAATTTTAGCATATAATTTATCCAATGCCATGGTATTACGGGTATATATAGGAAATTAACCTACCTTCAACATACGTATTTCTCTCAGTGCTATTTTCTTAACAACAGGGTCATCTTCAGATTCCACAAATTTTTTAATAGCTACTACTTGTCCAGAGGTTTTGTTTCTGCATTTGAACACAATCCCATAAGACCCTTCTCCAATCTTAGCTAATTTTTCATATTTTTCCATTACAGTTGAAGTGACAAGTTATTGTATTGATTGACTTGCAGTATAGCGTTGCACCTGGAAAATAAGATTGACTCATCTTAGTCAAATAAGAAAGGACGGTGTTTTCATAGTTCATACAAAAGCAGTTTGCTCAAGATGCCAAAGGTTTATATCCACCGATACATTTTTTTAAGTCCGCATAAAAATATTTGGATGTTATTTTGCTAGTTTCATCTTTACAGTTCTTCTAGCTATCACAAAGATTTCATATATATCTTTCTTTTTCTTCTTCTTCTTTTCTTTTTTTTTAATGCCAGAAGGTGAGTGCATGGGCATGACAGAAAGAGTCACAGATTGACAGACAGACAGTACCCCTGAACAAAGCTTGGTCATGTTGCAATCTTTTTCTTCTGATACTCTGTCCTGTCAGGATTTGGGGCAGGCTTGCACACACTCAGCATAAAATCAACAGGATCAGGATTTGAACCCTAGGCCATGTGAGATTCAGGTTCCTTTACTCAGCGCCTAACCACTGTGTCACAGGGCTGGCCCTGTATATTATTTCTGACAATGAATCTGTGTTTATCTCAGCTGATGAAAATAATTTGTGGAAAGGAAATTTGCCCAATAGATCCCTTTCATTATCCTAAATAATTGATTAAAATATGCTGCTGTAAAATCCAGCTGAAGCAACACTTCATACTCTTGAATATGGTGTTTATCTTTTCTCGCCTAACCCATGGAATATAAAGTACCATACTTCCACCTGGTGGAGAGAAGAAAGAGAAAATGTGGGCTGTTGAACAAAGCAGCCTTTTAAAATAATAATAATAAAATCCTCTTAGGATATTACTTATTATTTCTGGCTTTTATTGTATGAAAGAACAGATTTTTAAATTATAGACTCTCCCAAATTGATACAGAACAAAAAAGGAGGTAGATTTCTCTAATTCTTCACAAATGCTTTCACATCGCAGTTTGTCCTAGATGGGAAACTACATTTAGTGTGTTGTGATGATGCTCAGGGAATGAGTGTTAGGTAATATAATATAAAAAAAAAAAAAAACCCAAACAAACAAACAAAAACAAATGCTTTCACATCGCAGTTTGTCCTAGATGGGAAACTACATTTAGTGTGTTGTGATGATGCTCAGGGAATGAGTGTTAGGTAATATAATATAAAAAAAAAAAAAAACCCAAACAAACAAACAAAAACAAATGCTTTCACATCGCAGTTTGTCCTAGATGGGAAACTACATTTAGTGTGTTGTGATGATGCTCAGGGAATGAGTGTTAGGTAATATAATATAAAAAAAAAAAAAAACCCAAACAAACAAACAAAAACAAATGCTTTCACATCGCAGTTTGTCCTAGATGGGAAACTACATTTAGTGTGTTGTGATGATGCTCAGGGAATGAGTGTTAGGTAATATAATATAAAAAAAAAAAAAAACCCAAACAAACAAACAAAAACAAATGCTTTCACATCGATAGTGGTTTATTTTTCTTTTTTTCAGGATTTTTTTTTTCTTTTTTCTTTTTTTTTTGGCCATAGGGTACATGCGCTCACCAGAGAGAGAGAGAAACAGAAATCACCCCTTAGGGGGAGATGGCCAGGCTGCAATCCTTCCTCCTCCATTCTCTTCCTGGGATTTTGGACATGTAGGCGCATGTACCTGGTGGGATTTTCCAAGTCACCAGGTCTGGGACTTGAACCATGGTCAGCCATGTGGGAGCTTTATTTATTTATTTTTTTTGGAGAGGTTTTTGCTACAGGGTGCGTGCGCTCGCCAGACAGACAGAGAGAGACAGAGAGACAGAAAGTGAGAAATCACCCCCCGGGGATGGCCACGCCGCAATCCCTTCTCCTCCATTCTCCTCTTGGGATCTTGGGAACGCAGGCACATGCGCCCGGCGTGAGTTTAAGCCACCGGGTCCGGGACTCGAACCACAGTCGACTACATGGGAGTTCAGCGACATAGTCATTACGCTAACTGCTGGCCCCTGGGAGCCCAGATCTTTAACCATCATTCCACCCGCTGGCCCCTTATAGCAATTTCTATGAAAGTACTGGGTTTAGTTTTCTAGTCTTGCATCACCTATTTCGAAGTTTTTTTGCTTACTGGATTACACATTAAATGATGAATAAAGTCATCATAAATAAGTTAGTCTAGGAACTAAAAATAAGAAAAATATTCTAGTTAGTCTTAAAAACTCCACCCCACTTTATTCAGCAGAATCTTGTTATATAATCTAATAGTAATAATAGTACTTAATGGAAGAGACAAAAAGAAGGAAAGTGAGAAATCATATCCCAAGGGGGATGGCCATGCTGGAATCCCTTCTCCTCCATTTACCTCTCAGGATTTTGAGCACATATGTACATGCACCTTGTGTGTTTTTTAAGCCACCAGTTCTGTGCGTGTTTTCCAAACTGCATAGTCAGCCATTTGGGATCCAGCTCCCTTAACCACCACGTACCAGCTGGCCCCTATTTTACAATTATTTATTTATTTAGATTTTTAAAAATAATTATTTCATTTAAATTTATTTATTTATTTATTTTTAATTTGACCAGAGAGGGACAGAGTGAGAATGAGAGAGAAAGAGAGAGAGAGAGAGAGAAAGTGAGAAAGCAAGCCACCAGATCTGGGACTTGAACCTTAGTTGGCCATGTGGGAGTCCAGTGCCCTTAACCACTGTGCCACCTGCGGGCCCTTTTTTATTTTCTTAAGTCCTTATATATTTATGGAAAATGAGGCTAAGTATTCAAGAAGAATTCAACCAAGGTAGAAATTCCACAAAAGATTTTATGGCTGTAATTCCAGTTTACTAGGAATCTACCTGAATTTTTGGATGTAGTAATTCCTAGTCTCTTACCCGTAGTCCATACTATCTGATTGTTTGATAAACATTTCTGCATGAAAGGACAGAATTATCTTAAAATAGATACGTTCTAAACCAAATGCCTTCTCTTCTCTTCTTATGCCCTACCCCTACCAAAAGCTCACAAACATGCTCCACCACTAAATGGCTCATCAAGATACACGTGCCGGGGAAATGTGAAGTAGCCAAGGATAATGGCTGTTGCCCTAATGGAATCTTCCCATCATCTTCCACAAAGATACATACATCTACCAGAACAAGTAAAACCACATGAACCCAATGCTTTCAACAAGAAGAACTTTACGGACTTAGGTAGAAAAGTCAAGTCCAAATCCTGTAAGAGCTATCTCCCAAAGACAGGAATGGGTGAGATAGCCAAAAAACTGTAAGAAAGAAAAGAGGCATAGAAAGGCCTAAGATAGACTTGAAGTCTCCCCCTGCTTGCCCCCCCCCCCACCAAAGATAAAACATATCCCAAGTGTAAAAATACTGAAAGGATGTCCCGGTAGATCAGAGCGCTCACCAGAGGAAAGGCACTTACAAGTTAATGAGTACTGAGGTGTCGTTAGTCAGTGTGGATAGCAGTAGTAATTCTGAATTAAACTCACCTGTTGGAGATTGGATGATGTAAAGAAAAAGAAGCAAGAAGATAAATTTGGGATCCTGTAAGACAAAAGAGAGTCCCCAAATTGAATGATAGGTGACTCCCTCACCATGAAAACAGAAACAAGCTGTCTACCTAGATAGTAAAAAGGCCTTCTATCGATCACCTCTTGAGTAAAAGGAGAAATACAAAGTAAAATATGGAATTAGACAAATAATGATAATGATAACAAACACTACATATCAAAACCAATGAGATATATTAAATGCAATGGTTTCAATTGGGGTGATTTTACTTCCCAGGGAATTTTTCAGTCCCGGGAGATTTTTGATTATGTGAGTATGTGGAGGCCATGAATATGCTGCTCAACATCCCTTACTACGGAGGACAAACCCTCACGATAAATGACTCATCTGAAACGTCAATAATGCCATGGTTAAAATACCCTGAAGTGAAGCAAGAGAAAAGCCACTGTATACAAATGAAGACACTGTGCTCCACAGGTTGGGACCACATGGGAAACCCGGTCTGATTCCTGGTCCTACCTAGAGGGCAGGCATTAGGGTATGCAACTATAATTCCAGCAACACGGGGAGGCTGAGGCAGGAGAATAATGATGATAAGACCCCGTTTTCTAAAAACATACCAAGAAAAAACTTAAGAAAGTAATCAAAAGAAAGCACAATAAGGGAAGCAATAAAATTAAAGCAGAAATGGGCCAGACCTGTGACCTAAGGATTAAGGAGGCCAGATCCCACCAGGCAACAGTGCAGCTCTGGCAGAAGACTGGGTGGGCCAGCAGGTGGCATGGAGGTTAAGGCATTGGCTCCCAATAGCCAGCTCTGTGTTCAAGTCCTGGACCTAGTGGCTTGAGAATCACTCTGGGCATGTGTGTGTGCTTAAAATTCTGAGAGGAGAGTGGAGGAGAAAGGATTGCAGTGTGGCCATCCTCCTCCCTTCCCCCAGGAGGGGGCGACTAACCACTCTCTCTTTCTTTGGTGAGTACACACGTTCTATAGCAAAAACTTAAAAAAAGATGGGACATATGTATGTGGCCCCCAAATCCCTATAGGAAAGAGAAATGAAGGTATGACAGCATGACCATGCCCCCCCATTGGGAGGTGTTTTCTTCTCCCTCTCTGTCTCTGTTTTTTTCTAGCAGGCACATGTGCTCTCTGTCAAATTTAAAAAAGGAAAAAAGCACCAAAAAAAAAAAAAATCAAATAAATTAAAGCAAAATTAATAAAGTATAGAATAGAAAAAATTGATCTAATGAAACCAAGTCCTGGTTTCTTTCTCTCTCTCTCTCTCTCTTTTTTTTTTAAAGAGATTTTTGCTATAGGGCACATGCACTCACCAGAGAGATAGAGAGATAGAAAGTGAAATATCACCCCTAGAGGAGATGGCACACCATAATCCCTTCTCCTCCAACTCTCTTCTTGGAATTTTGGGCATGCACGACTGGTTTCTTAAAACAGACAAACCATTAGCTAATTTAATCAAGGAAAAAAAGGAGAAAGAAAAATCAAACAAGAAATAATGAGAGGGAATAACCATAAAAGCAGAAGAATTTTTTCTTCTTGTA